TCGTTCTTCGGAACCATAGTCGAAAAGTAGAACTTTTGTATATACTCCATAAAGTACTTTATCGGCCATGGCCTATAAAGTTAAGTGTATACCAATTAGAATTCTCAACTCTGAGGTAGGTTCTTTCATATACCATTTTTGATTTTTCTGGAATCAAATTCGAAGACGCCAAATTTGCCGCGTCTTTAATTTCTGGGGGCGTACCTGTAATGAATTCTTCGTCACTACTCATTTCTGTAATTTTTTACACCAATTTTTAATAAACTAGGTAATTAAATTAGTTTGACATGAGCACAGTGACACGACAGAAATTGTTCAATTGTTATCATAGCCAACTCAGTTAAGGAAGAATTATTGGAAATAGTATCATGTCAGATTTAATTTTCTATATATTTTTAAATATCTAAGCACCTTCGAATAAAAACAATTCATGAAACACGGACGAAAAGTGTTTTTTTCGGACTACTACTACTTTTCGTAGCGATGGAGAATATAGTTTTTGACAAGGAAAAATGTATTAGTTTGGTGGAGTCTAATCCCTGTTTACGAGATCCAGTACACAGAGATTACTTTTTCTTAATATACAGTTAACATACAGGGTGTTAAAAAAAAGTGTCACAAAATGAAATGGTGAATAGTATGACCCAAAATAAGCAGAAAAGTCTTAATAAATATATGACCGCAAATTAACGGTTTCGGAGATACGGACCATTTTGTGTTTATAACAATTTTTTATTATTATAAAAAAACAATGATATTTATAAACAATCAATAACAACATAGAGTTAAATGAGATGTTCAAAGTGCCCTCCCTCCATTTCAATGCATTGCCATTTGCACGACCGTACATAAAATGCATGTCAGCTAATTCAATATTAGTGTAAACAGGCATAACGAAAATTTATAAAATTATTCACCCAGAACAAAATAATAACTGCAAATAGTATCTATGAAAAAACATCGGTAGACTCCGATAAGAAACGCATGTTTTTGAGAATGAAAAAAGATAATCAAAAAATGATACGTATCTCTGAAACCATTCATTTGCGGACATATGTTTATTAAGACTTTTCTGCATATTTTGGCCCCTACTACCCCCCGTTTTATTTTGTGACACTTTTTTTAACACCCTGTATAAAGTGCACATCATGAGATTTTTTTTTAAATGATGTAGATACATTTTGACTTTGCCATTATTTGTTGCTTCAGAAATGATAACCTAACACGCAAATGTCAAAATTTACCTTTTTTGTAAAAAATGGAAAAACCCTGTCTAAAAAAAGTTTATTTTTTACTCATATACCAATTTTCAACTTTTTTTATTATTTTTTCTACCAATTCATTTTAAGGTTATTGGAATTTATGCTTACCTGCATAAAATAATCTGTTTACGTGATGCGCTTCTTTTAAATGTTTTTTGTTAAAAAATATTTTATACATGTTGCTTAAATTCCAATAACCCCAAACTGAATTGGTAGGAAACAAAAACTTGAAACGGGCTATATGGGTAATAAATAATAAGTAATTTTTTATTAAGCAATTTCTCGAAATTAATGCTATTTTTGCACTTTAGACATTTAAAAAGGTCACGTGATTGTCCATTTGCATGTCATTCGTTATCATTTTTAAAACAACAGAAGATGGCAAAGTCAAAATTCATCTACAGCATTTACAAAAAGTGTTGAAATTTGATGGGTAGAGCTAATTATTTTTTAATTAAAGCTAAATAGGGCATACTAAGACACGGTTTAAATGAAAATATTTAGTTAGGGATTTTACAAAATTTTATGAAAATAATAAAAATAAAATTGTTTATTGCTAACTAAAGCACAGAAAATACTGTTGATTTTAATTATTGTAAATAAGTCTTTGTTTTAATTGCCAACTAAAGTACAGAAAATACTGTTGGTATTAATTATAAATGATTCTTTATGTTAAACATTATTTACTATTCATTATTTAATTTTATCTATGAAAATTATAAAATGAAAATTAGGTATGACCAAATTTGAAAAGGTTTGTTAAATGGTGAAATTTGGTAAGAACAGTTTTGTGGTAATTTTGTATCCGACAACTACAATTTCATCATCCTGGTGAATAGTTTCTTCAGCAAGGTTCTAGTATTTTCTTCGTTTGTTTTATTCAGTTCGGTTCAATGGTGGTTTTCGTCTTTTCCTAATACTGGACAAGTATGAAGGGAGATTCGGGAATATACATGGTATTGCTTCGTTCTTTAATCTCGGCCTTTCCCTTCTTATTTTGTTAACAGTACCATTAGTTAAAATTGTCTCATCAAATTTTAAAATATCATCTTCTAAAAAGTGTAGCTCGCAAACAGAATCATAACTAGACAGTACTTTATCAGCCCTAGGAATCACATGCTGCCATTGTTCTAAACGTTTAGGATCCTATAAAAAATATTTGCAATGACTAGATTGGAGTTCAATAAAGAAAAATAACAGTAGTAACTCTTCATCTAACATCAAAAAACATAAAAAAAGCAAATTTTCTTTTCTAGTAAGTTAAATTTAATGTGTAATTATTGTTGTTTGTATGTCGGGATTTATGACTTTATTTTTTATTATAGAATTTTGTAATTAAATAAACTACACTCCGTAAGATACGGGTTGTGACTATTTTACAATAAACATATATTATTTAAAAATAAATACATTATTTTACTTACACTAGAAGCTTTAAAAAGACTTGGATTTTTATCTCCTTGCGTTTTCTTTAAATTTATATCGGATTTATATCCCGTTTTTCAACCCGGAACGAAGAAAATCCTGCTTTGCCGTTTTTTGTTACTCATTGTTACTTGTAGTCAGGTTCTTTATTTCAGCTTATTTTTATTCTTTTCACAAAATTTTACAAAAATCACTTTAATTCCAATTGACTTGCATAGAAAATAGATGTCATTATTTTGCCATCCGCCAACTACAGTAGTTTTTTGGAACTTCATAAAAATAGGGACAGAAATTTGAAATTTAACCAAGGCCGATTCGCCTCCTTATCTCTAGTCTTCATATATGTGGGTCATTGTATTATATACCTCAGTATAATACACTATTCTAGATCCACAATTCAAACCTATTCACGCCACTGAACTATGCATGAATTCGATACAGCAGCCCAATTTTTCGACTGCGATTCTGTATCTTGGATACACGTATCTGGCAAAGAGGTCTGAAAGGGCTCTTAAAGTAACGATGACATGGGGTAATTGTCGTAGCCAACCCAAACAATTGTAAGGCGAGGATAAGAGAGATAGCAGAAACTGTTTGGAAAAATACCATGATATATTGTGGAAAATTGCTAGTTTCAAAAGTTCCGTGCTTTTTTTGCGCATGAGTAATGCGAAATTGGCGAATAATGGGAAATGTCAATTCAAAAACCTCATTTTTAATAATTTATTTAGACAAATACTTATGTCAAAGGAACAAAAGAAACTAATAAATGTAACAAAAAATAAGTTTTAATATTTATATATAGTAATGTCGAGAAATACAATACATAATTGATATATTTGGTTCAAAATTAATTTAGTGACATATTTTTTGTTATCAAAATTGATTAATCAACGTTTGATGGATCATGATCTGGGAAAATAAAAATATTTTGAAAAAAGAAATGTCAGAAGGGAATTAAAAAATGTTGATGGCTTTGAAGTAGATTATTAAAGAAAAGAAAGTTGCTTGTATTGAAATTTATTTTGGATTATTGAATGTGAATCTGTAGGAGATAATAAAAAGATAAAAAAAGAAACAAGATAAAATTTATTTCACATTATTGAAAAAAAAAAGACCAGATAGCAGAGTAAGGGTTGAAGCTGTAATAAGTTGGTATAGAAGAAAGAAGCCAAAGTTCGAGAAAGCAGAAAAAAAAAAAGAAAATCTTAGAAGATATATAAATTTTATTGAAATTAATATTTTTTGTATAGAAATTAAGTGTAAGCCAATCAAATGTTCAAGTGGCCATCAATAAAAGTCCCCAGCGTTCATGCGCCAACCTGTAACCGCCGCCATAGATCATCCACACACGGATGTGGAAAATCCGCCACATGTAAAACGCGTGCACGGATAATCAAGGTTTTACTGTATATAAATTTATTTATTTACGGGTAAAGCCCAATTCGGTTTAAATTCAATAAGATATAATAAAATACAATAGAGTATAATAAAATAGTGTTAACATAAAAATACAAAATAAAAAATAATTCACATAACACATTCGTGTGATTATATAACAAATTGGTAGGATAAAACAGACATTAATGTAAAAAACTGCAATTAAATTATAAGTGCAAATGAAAAATATGAGATTACACGTGGCGTTCAAATATTTAGTATAAGTGGTTCTTAAATCTCTGAACAGAACTGTCAAAAAGTTGATAATCGGTGGCTTAATGATAATAACTGGTAACTTGAATCCATGAATTTTACAGAAAAAAAAACTGTTTCTAATATTAAATACTGCAAAATATATTATTAACCATAATCTTTAGAGCAGATATGGCATATTGGTAAATGTAATTTTTAAATAATTTATTTCTGTAATATTTATAATAACCCCTGTTATACAATTTTAAATATAAAAAATTAACAATATGGAATATATGCAAAGAATTATTATAGTTGAAGATTTTCTAGTTAAGATATGATACTGAGAATTTCTGGATACATAAAATAGACCAATATGGAAATCTTTCAATGAAAAACTGAATTTCTTAGATTTTGTAGTTACTGGTTATTAGCATTAAGCCATTGATATCTAAATCATGTTTCTTTCATGTAACTATCAATTTAAACAACAATTGTTTGAGTTAATTAATTTTCACTTGTTAATTTAAAAAATCGTTTCTTGTTTTGTCTTCTCTATTAATATTAATTTTTATTTGAATGCTTTTGGCAATATATATGTATTATCAATTGACAATATATTATATATTAAAATATTAAAGATTTGGTCTTTAGATTACCTTAAACTAACCTCATATTTACCTCTCCAAATCTTTCAATGATTTGTTTCTTATTTCTTACTAAATTATCTATTAAATTTGTTAAAATAACGGGCATCCGAAGTTTCACAGTGTAATAGGCGAAACTCCTAGAACAAAAAAAAATCAGCAACATATTATATACATGCAAAACTATAGAGAACTATTCTAAAGCAGCGAGACTATTTTAGGTGTAAATGTAAAACTAGAGAGCTATTCTAAAAAAAAATATTAAGTAAAATGAGTCAACTTATTATGAAGATCTAGAAATATCAAATAATTCATAAAAAAGAGGTCTAATGAGGCCTTCAGCAACGGTGCCAAGCCCACCTTTTTTCTTATTAATTTAGGGTGACCAGACTTTTCAATGTCCTGCCAGCTTTTCCTTTCTGCCGGCATAATAAAAATCTGCAAATGATTGCTACTTAAAATTTAAATTTGCCAAGCATACATAATCATTCACTACTTAGTGTTTTACTCTTTATGTTGGATTTATATTTTATTTAAAATTTGTCATCTGGTCACCATAACCAATTATTGTAACTACAGTCTAGTTGAGATATATACAGTGTGTCTACTTAAGTCGGTACCATGTATGGGAAACGTTTTTTCATAAAACTAATAATTCTTCGCTTGAAAGGCAAAGGGGCAGCCTAAGTCAAAAAATGCCCAATTTTAATTAAGACCACACCATAAATTTGTTAAAGTAGGATATCTATGATGTGACAAAGGGGGTTTCTCTCCTTTGAAAACCATTTGCAATATTTTATAGCAAACGAGATATAGTGTATACCCAATGCAGTGTACACCAAAAGTTTAATTCTCCTGTAAAATAGCTAATTTGGAGTTACACTTCTTTGTCTATCCAGCGACGAATTGAGTCTTAAGCAGATACACTGTATATTCTTGGTATAGCGACTTTCCTGTTATACTGGAGAGCATTATTGTTATTGTGGAAACCTCTAACCAAAGTTATCCGGACTAAATCCAAATGTATTTGAATAAAAAGAGTACCTTTTGTAAAAAGCAGAAAGATGTACATTTCTAGGAGTAGTAATATCCAAAGAGCGATTTGTATTACAATCACAAGTTTTTGTTGCTATCACATCTGTACTCATGGCAGCCATCGATACAAAAGATTTGGTTCCTAATTTTTATTCAAAAAGCGTTATCAAAGTTAAATTATTAATCATTGATCCATTGACCCCGATGCCCTTGCGTCCACACTTGCGTTTTTTAAATTTTCAGACATTTTTTACTTGACTTCTTATGATTTGAGGTTATAAATTACACAGATAAATTATGAAGTTTGCTTAAAAAACAAACAAGTAAAAGGGCTAGTACTTCTTTTATTGTTTCTGAACTAAATGGTCTAAACATAAAAAGACATGCAACCAACATGTTAAAGACTGTAGTAGTAGAGAAGAGAGAAGATATCAGAAAGATAATAAACATGTAACAAACAAAACAACCACAAAATAATGACCACATAGACATTTTTGAATTATTAAACTTAAAAAATAGAATGAATCAAATTTGTTGATATCTTGTAATCTTTATCTATTTACGTTATCTGGGACTCATCAATGATGTCGTCAGCAACAGTAAGTAAATAAACAGTGCCTGGCAATCTAGAATTTACTATTTTACATTTTGCTTTCCAGATGCCCCTTCTGGAGGATACTGTTGCCTTCGGCGAAGATGAAAGTGAATTGGGTGTGAGAGTCCCAAAAAACTCATTAACGTAAGTACCTCCAATTTAATAAATTTTAGAAACAGTAAATGTTTTGTTTTAGGCACCCCTACATCACATTATGTCATCTAGCATTTAAAGGGACAGCAATGGTAGTTTATTTATTATGTGGCTGGTTCAATGTTAGTTTTATTGGTAGTTTTGTGACTGTAGTATTATTATTATCAATGGATTTTTGGACTGTAAAAAATATAACGGGAAGATTAATGGTGGGCCTTAGATGGTGGAATTATGTTGATGAGGAAGGGAAATCTCACTGGGTCTTTGAATCACAGCAGGTAGTTGATTATAATTTATATTGAACATACTTAATGCCTTACCTTTTTAAAAACTAATGGAATGAGATCCCATCATAATTTTTTTTATTTGGTTGACTAAAATTTTTATAAAACTTCTCTACTGCTAAGATTATAAATTTATTATTTTTTATGGTTTATAATGTTACTGGTGGCGTTCAAATCCTTATAGAATACTCTAACCGAATTTTTAATAGAAAATGTACCAGATTTAAAGATAGTAACTCCCTCTATCTTATGTCTCAAGTAAAGTGCACCTTGTTATAACAAAAATATCATAATCTCTCTAATTTCACATCGTTTTTGTTTCATGTCTCTATCTTCTTCAATTTAGAAGTTAAGAAGGGGGGGACACAATTTAGTCCTTGCTGTTTATTTATTTATTAATAAAACTCTTTTTCTTTAAATGTAGGTAAAAATAAAAAGTAAAGCAAAAATATGTTATATTAACAATTCAATAATGAAGACAATTTATTTCTATTAATACTAATTAATTTAACATATACTTATATACAGTGTGTCTACTTAAGTTGGAACCATATAAAAAACATTTTTATTATTGATTTTAGGAAAAAAAGTTATTCTTGATAAGTCCTGCATGACCCAAAACCTAAAATACAGTCATCACATATCAAATTTTTCAAGCTGTATACGAGGTTTGTCAAAAAATATGAATTTTGCTAAAGAGTAAAGTACGTTTATTTTTGACAAAATCGAAAACTTTCATTAAGAAAAGTTGATTAGAATTGAATATTACATTGAAATATGTAATTACACCGATCTATCTGAAAAAACAGATTTTCTTATTTTTTATAAACTCTACACATTGATTGTAAATATCTGAAAACGTTATAAATTACGTTAGCTACTATAAACATGATACGCTTTCCTTTTGTTAATGTTTGTGAAGAATTTAGCAAATTTCTTAATGAAAATTTTCGATTTTGTAAAAAAAATAAACGTACTGGGTCATGCAGGACTTTTTATCAAGAATAACTTTTTTCCTAAAATCAATAATAAAAATGTTTTCCATATGGTTCCAACTTAAGTAGACACACTGTATTTTGCAATGCTATGAAAAATAGCACATTTATAACTATCAATTTGTCAAATTCATATTTATTTTTTGGTACTTTTTTTGAGAATTTCATTTTTTTTTTTTTTTTATTTAGTGTCATCGGCATCGACTACTAAGGTCATTAGCCTCGTGTTCTGTGTAGGCTTTGTCACTGTTTCCCAGCGCCACTTTAGAAACAGCACTACCCAGGCATCAGAATTAATTTTAAATAATTAAATTAAATAAAAAAATCCCGGCCAATGGTGGGATTCAAACCTGGGACCCTTGGATCCACAGGCAGAGACTCTACCACTGAGCCACCCACCCCTTGAATTTCATGTTATATTTGAGTCATCTACTTGCAAAACTGCCTACATCCAAAATGTTTCAAAACTAATATTAAAATGCAATAGTATACTATGAAATATGCTTTATTACATGGCATATTCCGATTATATTATAAGCGACTCTATAAATATGGGAATTCATTGCAAAACTGGCTACATCCAACATAAAGTCTGTTTCAAAAGTGGCCTCATCCTAATTATTTAATTAAGCAACAATTAAATGTTCTCAGAATTTGTCTGGAAAAAATTTGTGATGTTCCCAAAGAAATACCACAACCCAATATTTAAATATCAGAACCCAATTGTTTAACTTTCTTAAAATTTGTATAAAATTTTTAGTTTTTTTTTTTCTTCCAAAATGTTTGTTCTCAATTTTTCCAGATGTTCAAGTTTTTGTAACTTTATAATGCAAAATATATGTAGGTATTAGAACCACATATTCTGTATTTTATTCATAAAACTTGAAAAAATTATAAAAAACAATTTTTATATTTGTAATGTATCTTGATCCAAACTTCAAATCTCTATGCCATCTTTATTATTGGAACAGGATTTATTAAGTTGTTCCTAAAATTATATCTAATGCAATTTAAAATATCTAGATATTCAGAAATGACTATTTCATTCAAAGTTGGGAATATTGATATATTTGCTAAAATGGATGTAGCTGGTTTTGCAAGTAGACGGCTAATTTATAGCTTTAATTATCATTGAATATTAATTAAAAATAAAATATTTTTGACAATATGTGGGCTCCAATTTCCAGGTTATTAAAAAAAATAAAATAATTAAGTTAATTCTAAAATGTTATGTTTCAGAATAGGATAAATGAAAAAGAAGCTCGTATATTCTGGGTTGCTCTTATTTTGACACCAATAATATGGTTTCTCTTTTTTATTGGCAATCTTTTTGGTCTAGATTTTAGATGGTTGGTAAGTTCATGAGCAATTGTTACAGTGATGTAAAATTGTAATTAACATTAATTTACAAAATCAAAAATACATGTGGCCAAACTTTAAGGTGCTATTCCTCGCTCAATCTTAAGTCAAAAAGTTCATAATAATATATACATAAATAACTAGAAGACAGAAATTAATATCGTGTTGAAACATTTTGGAAATTTTTGTTACATAGAGAAGTTTTTTTAAGCCAAAACGAGTTAGGAAAAACATTTTTGTTCAACACCGTTCATGTTTAAAATGAAGCCATTTAAAACCTACGTTTATAGGAACTTTTTGTATTAAAATTGAGTAAGGAATAGTAGCAACTTAACCATTTTTTTTGGTCAAAAAATTATCGGATTTTATTAAACTGAAAATTTAGTATTTCTATTTATTAAAATTTTATTAGAACACGCTAGCATCTGAAACGATGGTAAAAAAATATGTGAGTAAATATAATGATCGCCCGTGTCCCAGTCGAGCGCATACAAAATTGCCAGTAAGATGCGCTCGTCCCTGACATGGGCAAGTACGTTAAGTGGTTAAAGTTTAGCCACATACTTATTGATCACCCTGTTCGTATGACAAATAAAATCAGATAAATGGTAATCTTGATACATAGGTAATTTGTGATTTCTATTTGTTACAATACAATTTAGGAGTTTGGAATTGAAGAGGTATAAGTGCACTTTTTTTAATTTTTTGTGTTAAGAACTAATTTATAAACTTAAAGTATTTTTCTATTTGGTAAAGAATAGATACAAGTAAATCTATGGCAAATAAAGCCATCAATCGGAAAGTAAAAAAAAGAGTGTTAAAATAAGATACAGAAATCTTTATTTTGAATGGATACAAGTGCACTTATACCTCTTTAATTCAAATATGTTCGTATCAAATTTTTTGACATTTATATTTTGATCTGTGTGGTGCATCTTTAGACGATTTTAAATCGAATAATATGTCTTGAATATGATTGACTACACTGATATAAATCAAAAACAATGACGTTATATTGAATATTGTCTTGAAATGGTCAAGTTTAACAAGACTAATGTAAAACTTTTACTTTTTAATGATTAAATTGTTTGGTTGTGTTATTTATAAAATCGAAAGAAAGGCTGAGTATAAGGTTGCCAGATTTACGAAAGGGAAAAGTGGGACAACGATGATGACAAAGATCAGGTCAAAAAACAGGTATTTTTATAAAATAAGATCTTAAAAAAGTCCTCCGCTTATATTTTTATAGACTATCAGGTCATTTTTTTTGAGGAGATTCTCAAAAAAGTCAAACATTTCTTTATATATAACTTTGGATTTAAAAAGCGTAGCATTTAGTTAAAATGTGGGGCATTTTCGTACTTTGGCGTAACGCGTTCCAACAATTACGCCTAAAACGAGCCGTCTGGCAACCCTAGCTGAGTACCTAGATATGGACGCAACGGTTTTTGTAAATGAAAAGCCAATTTATTTTCAAGATAGCCAAGATTTATTGATGAACATGGCAAAAGGTTTGATAAAATTTCAGATGCCAAAGAAACTACAACACCAATTTTCTCTTCATCCGTGATCAGTACACAAAACAAATTTGTAATGTTTAAGAGCAAATCAAACACCTTAAAATTTATATAATTCTTTCTGAGCCTTTTTTTATAAAAATAACTTATCTTTCTAAATAGTTTTATTGTGTATTCGCCCAGATTAATAAATTAAGTTGATTTTTTTCTAATATTTTACGTTTTTGACACATTTTTGACTGATTTCAAACACATATATTTCTAACGACGTTATCTTTCACATTAACGACCAGAAGTCGTATAGTTGATTTTCAAGAATTTTAAAACAATAATTAACTGTAGACTACAATATCTCAATAATTGAAAAACTGTACTTATACTTCTTTAATTCCAAACCCCTCAATTTTAAAACGAAAGTTTTCCATCTGTCATACTGATTTTTTAGATTTTAAACATACTATTGCCGTGTTTGAGAATCCACATCGGATGCATTTTTTACATCTCGAGCGTTTTTTTATCCACATCGGACACACCTGTCCCATTACATTTACGTATACTGAATCACGTGATCAAAGATTTTTTTACATCTCAGATGCATCCGATGTGGATTCTCAAACGCGGCATATACAGAATGCGAGGTAAATAACTCTTGTAAATTAAACAAACAATTGTTAAAAAGTTCACTACTACATAATATACATGGTGGTAGTATATCGACAGACAATGCTCTAGCCCAGAGAGGTCTCATTAATTGATGAATTTTGTTGTACTAAGTATTTTAAATACTTAAAGTAAATATTTAAGTACAAAAAAATACTTCTTAAGTACTAATGCAAACTTTAGTACTTGTACTTGCAAATTTAGGTTTTTAATTTGGGTAATTCTCGGGTTCAACTATAACAGCCGTTTGCAGCGACTTTCTTAATTATTCCTTAAAGTTAAAGATATCTTAAGGGCAGGTTGTATGAAGCTTACTTAAAGTTAAACTTGGTTTGAGATGACACATGTATGGCATAGGTACAGTCTAAACACCATTTATAACTTAGGACTTGTTTCCCCAAACATTAGACTGCAATAATTATAGAATCGTAAATTGACATGTATAACCTAAAACTTTAAATAAGCTTTATGCAACCAGCCCTAAGCGTATTGTTTTCTATAACATTTAAGCCATTTAAGGTCTCCTTAACATAAGGGAAAAGACAAACTACATAACAAGTAGTATAAAAAATTGAACAAGGAAGTTAATGATAAAATGTGAGATTTTAAAAGTTTATTGATTCGGAACGAAAATACAAAGTTCGTGTACCTAAGCCTATTATATTATAATCAAACCATACAAATCGGGCATCATTAGTATGGGGCTGTTTAACCCCATAAAAACTGCTGTATGCATAACTTCATACTATATTTCCTTATTTTATAATGTTTATGTTACATAAATTATGATTATAATAATATAAATACAAAATACGTCTTAAAAATAAAGGTATCTACATCTACTTACCTCATACTGTTATTGTTTTGGGTTACAATTTCACTACTTCACTGAGGCTCTTTCCACGGCACAGTGCTTTCGTCAAATGCATTCAAACAAATGAGATGGATGCGAGTCCGAGCACTAGTAACCCAATCGAACAAGAAATTTCTTGTTTCTATACCACGTGCATATTGTGAACACGTATTTAAAAGTAATTCTAATTAGAAAATGTAATAATTTAAATAATATAATTACAAAGTACAATTCCTCCACCAATTTTGCTACAATTATAATTCCAAATTACTTTAAGAAAAAAGTACTTAAGTACAATTACAAATTACATGATAAAAAAATAATTGTAATTATTAATTATTTTTTTACTAGCAATTCCCCAGCTCTACTTATTTGTACTGGTACTTGATTCGTATTTAAAAAAAAAACCTTGTAGGTACTTAATACTTGAGGACTTGGTACTTACAACAACAGCTCTGAGAACATGAACCCTTAAAGCGCTTAGTTACCGAGATACAGGTTGTTAAAAATTTTAAATCAAAATTAAAAATTTGCTATAAATCAAAAACGGTATTAAATACTTCTTTTTTCAAATTTGATCTACCAAGATCTTGTCAAATACACGAACTATTAAAAATTTGACTTGTGCCTACTAGATTAGAATTTAGAAATATTGAGTCGTTATAAATTATCTTAGTACATGCAAACTTTTGTTTAGAAGAAAATTTCTGCAACACCGTTCATTTTAGCTCCATAAAAGATTATTTTTTTAGCTAAAAATAAATAGAGAATTAAAAATGTTTGTTTCATTGGCGTAAAAAAGGGAGGGAAAAGTTTCCACTAACCCTGACAGCGCTCCACTAGCTAAATTTTTCAAGAGTTAGTGTATTTTCAACTTTTAATACCCTGTATCTCGGTAACTGTTGCCAGTTGAATGTACTATCACAATGTATAAAAGCGCTAGAATCTAGAATAACTGGGTCTGAAGATAAACACTATTTGGTAAACCCGCTCTGAAAAATTCAAGCATTTCCTGTCCTCTCTCTCTTCCTATCACATTAAGAGCAAACCGGACCTCTCGCGAAAGCAAACATGTTTTAGAAATTTTCTAATATAAAATTGTATTTATATGCGCGCTACTGGGAATACTTCGTAATATTATGTGTCTTTACAATATTGAGAGTTTTAAATTTGTGCAACGATAATGCAGAACTCTACAGAGACGTTTAAGAAAAAAAGGTGGTAAAACATCACATTTAAAAACTACTAGATATTTATTAAAACAAAAAGCAGAACATTTTTGTATAGATTTAATCCAGAATAGCGCGTAAATGTTTTTTTTTTAATTCCTTGTAAATTTATTTTTAAAGGTTTATAAAAAATTCAAGGTTTCTCCACCCTAACTTTTGTTATTATTGGTATATCCTGAAAATTTTAAAAAATCGGACTAAAAATAAAGACTCTGAATTAATTATAAATTTTCGAGCTGTTCGGTTTGCTGTTAATTCAAAAATTGTAGTTGTTCAGGACTAATTTTTTATTATTTACCTTTTTACTGGTGGTGCCTATGTGCATTTTTTTAACTTTATGAGTTTACCGACCTTTTTGAGAATTAAAGTTAATTGAAATTAAATAAATTACATATTTTATCATCCATTTTATTTTAGGTCTTAGTAACCATAGCTTTGGTTTTAAGTGTTTCCAACCTTTACGGATATGTGAGGTGCAAGGTAGGAAGCAAGGAGAGCATGTCTTCTTTAACATCTGATTTCCTACGAAAGCAAGTTTTACAAAATGCCGTTTCTTTTGTATCTGGATCACCGAGAGATACAAATAATTCCAGTCAACAGCCAACAAATGTTATTTAAATATTTTTAAAAATCTCTGTGAGGAGTGTGTTGTGAATGTTTTTTATTTATATATTTTTTTCTTTAAAACCATTATTTGTATTAATTGTAAATAAACATTTCTTTATTTAAATATCTCTTTAATGTAATAATTTTCAGCTTAATTAAGAAAATTCTTTAGGAAAAACAAGGTTCTTTCCTAATAAAGTATGTTTGTTTCAAAAATATTATTTTGTGTGTCATCGGCTTCAACTACTATGGTTATTTCGCCTCTTATTCTATTTAGGTTTTGTTACTGTTTCCCAGCGCTACTTTAGGAACAGCACTATTAATTAGACCCCAACGCAGTGATTGGTCGAGAGGGGAATCATACAATGCATCAGAATTAGTTTTAAATAATTAAATGAAAAAATCCCGGCCAACGATGGGATTCGAACCCGGGATATTATTGTTATTAATATTATTATTTTTGTTATTTATTATTATTAATTATTATAGTATTTAACTTATCATTAAAATAAGAACTAATGCCAAGTAAAAGTTCAGTTTAAACAAATTATAAATCGCTTTTAAAGAAGGGACCGGGAATCCTATTAAAATTATAAGATATTGCTCTTCTGTCTGGTCTCCACATTACATAACGCACAGCAGAAACATAGAAAATGCGCAACATAAATTTCTTAGATACATAGCCTATAAATTGGGTGTCCTTTGCGAGTATGATTTGATAGAGAATTTTCTAAATCCCCTCTTTGGAAACTAGGAGGAAACAGAGATACCTGACATTACTTTTCAAAATTATCAATGGCAGATGCAGTTCCAACAAAAATAAATCTTTGTTCCAACGCGCTCAACTCAACAGCAACAAACATTTTAAGCTATTTCATAGCTTTTATCGCGGGCTTTGAGTGGCGACCGATTCAAGAAATTTCGTAACACCGTAACGAAAAAAACCTAACACCCCCCACTTCGACCGGCACAGCGGTACGGCGTTATAGCCATGGAAGGTTTTATCCGAAAAATGGAAAAAGAAATTCCGTAACGAAAATAAAAACACCCCCCACTCCGAGTGGTGCGGCGTTGAAAGCCGTGCATCGTCTAATGTCGTTTCAGTTCGGCAGATTTCGGCACGGTGTTTGTGTGCGTGCGATTAGACGTATGCGTGTAGACTAGCTGCTAACTGCTCATAACTGATCTCTATTAGACACGATTTCTGAAAAATTGAATTTGAAAATGAATAATGATCCACAACAAAATATGGGACCAGCATTGACGCGGTATTTTCCAGATTTTTAGAGGATATCAACTCTCAAATTTATGTTTCTTATTTCAGTTACCATAAACCTATAGTTTCAATGAAAAAAATTCCTGAATAACCTACATGTATTGTAAGATAAAAATATTTTAAACAATATTAACTTCTCATTTATTCATTAAAAGAAAAAAAATTATTTTCTTATCGGTCACCACGCTCAAAAAGTGTAACTTGAATTAATATCAAAGAAAAAACTTGAATTAATATCAAAGAAAAAAAATACTGCATAAATAAAATAAATAATTATAATTGCTTAAGTTGATAAAAAATGCTATGCAATAGCTTTACCGCGGCAGTCCCCGAGTGCCACACGTATTTTTTTGTACCTTTTTATCGTTTAAACCATACTTTTAGCAGCTGTATTCCAAGAATGTTAAGATTAGCCAACACTCATAACGATCTTGAGATATTTAACATCCCCTTTCATAAATTTATAAAGCAATTACTTAGTACTGAGCTTTAATTTAAATATTTTATTCAACCTTATTGTCTTTTAAATCTTTTAAATTCTTAACCTATTTTATGAATTATACTACGATTGTATTTCAGCCACCATATATATATCTCACTACATTTTAATTATAATTTTAAAATTGTAATTTATTTCTCAAATGGGCTTGCCCGTAAATAAATAAATATCTAAGGTGCTCGCATTCATTTGCAAGCAATTTTGTGGTTTAGAGACACTCAGCTTCGAATCCTACAGAAAACCATGTGAATTTATTTGCATGATTCTCTATAGGATTTGATGAATGCCGTATTATTAGCAGAAATTTAATTTCTGTTGATATGACATCCAGATTATAAAAAAATCGTCATGTGCAGGGCCGCCGAGAGCCAGGCCGGGCCCCTGGACAATTCTCTAGATCGGGCCCCGTGACAAAAAGCTTTTCAAACTTTTCCTCTTCTACTTGAATTGAATTTTCTAAAAAAAACAGCTCCCCAACCTAAAACTTTCCCCTCTCGTCTTGTGTCGAATTTCTCATACAAAACAAAAAAAACCAGTTGACGGGCCCCCCTTATACCGCTGCCGGGCCCCCATTTCAGTCCGGGCCCCGGGAATTAGTCCCGACTACCCCCCCCCCTCTAGTCGGCCCTGGTCATGTGCTACCGGTTCGATAATGGTGAGTAGGGGTTTCCGGGTTTTTCTCACCTGTATGTCAAATGGCAACATCATTCATAAGTCGCCCTGGAGCGCTATGGTAAATAATAATATGTATTCGTCCCTTCCCCTACACAAGTCGGTTTCAGGGGTTGAAATTCACTCATAAAAGGTTGAATTAGGAAGTTAAAGTAGGATAATAATATAATAGTTATAATTTCGAAAATGTTTCTTCATATATCATAGACTTTAAAATTGCATTTTTAAAAATCTTCATTGCTTTACTATTTTTCATGAATTGGAAAATTTTGAAGACCCTCGCCGCAGGATAGATTAAAGCTTAAATTTAAAAGTTGGTGTTTTTCTCTTCAGTCGTTTTTGAATTATTTTCGAAATTTGCACTTTTTCTTGAATACGGTCAATTTTAGAGAAATTATGTATAGGACAAGAATTATATAATTAAGTCCCTTTGAACTGTACCCTACAAGACGTAGGTATTGTATGTTTCTATACTACCCACGATCTACCCCTTTAGTTTTTCTATGGCCTACCCTTTTCCCTTTTTTAGAAATACAAATTCAAACAAAATTATATCTATGTAGTTATCTCACAGTATTTCAAACCTGTCAAATCAAACAAATTTAATTATTTTTAAACAGTAAAATTTATTATCCTGTGATAAAAAAGTTTTTCAGAAATATTCAAATTTAAGTAGGTATAAAAAAATTCATAACATCAAATTTTCTAAATCTCTACAATTTGTAAGAAATTTGGATATTTAAATTTTTTTAAACAAATAAATTATAAAAATTGAATTTTCTTTCAACAAAAAAAAAATGTGCTCCAGGTGAGGCTCGAACTCACAACCCCGGCATTGCTCACGACTACTGCCTTATAAGTACCGTGCGCTAACCAATTGCGCCACTGGAGCGTTGAAATAAATTTTCCAAATTACCTTATTTGAATAAAATCCTCTTTATCACTTTATTTTTAAATTAAAAAACTAGATTATTAATAAAATACGCTTCCCTGAATTATTTTAATCCAGTGAAAATCTTTTTAACCCTTACACTGCTTAAAATTTGAAAAAAAATATTAATTTGTTTCCACATATTTTTAAATTGTGAATCATTAAAGAAGTGAGTGGAAGTGAGATGAATTCAAGGCCATTTTTTGCGTGTAAATTAATTAAAACCAGGGGCATAAAACACATAAAACTGTATTAAATTACTTTTTTGACTTGAAAGACATAAACGTTAAAAAATGTTTCGCACCTTTCAAACGTCAAAGTAAAACTTCTTTTTTTAATTTTGGACTTCGTATTATGGCAGTCATATAAATAAAAGGCCCGTATTTATAAACAAAACTCAGCTGAGTCGGGCTTGGGTAAGTCGTCCTTGAACGAACATCGAAGTTCGGTTATATTGCGTTAATTTAGAGATGGGTGGTAACAAATCCTCAAATGTACATAACAGTTAAATATTTGCTAAAGGCTGTATGTCACGATACTAAATTAAGTACTAAATTTAGCACAAAATTAAGTTATTAATTTAGTACTAAATTTAGAACTAAAAATATTTTTTTTCCGTTTGCAACGATACCAATTTTTAGTACTAAATTTATTATAGGCGCTCGCGCATTGACGTATTAATACGTGAAATTAACAGAGAAATAAAATATTCTGTGTAAAACAGACAAGTAAATGGTGTTTTTATTATCAATTTGACACTAGTTGACTTGACAACAATCAAATACAGCATAAAAACCACGAAAAAAACACAATAAAACCTACAAAATCAAACAAGCGAACTTTATTCAAGGCGATAATGTAAAACTGTCGCTAAATTAAAATAAAAGGGTACAGAAAATACCGTCGTGTCAACTTTTTCTACGAAAAACTGCTGCGCAACATTTCGGCGCACTTTTAGTACTAAATTTAGTAGAAAATAGAAAAAGATTTAATTAATTAATTACTTTTTTTAGTACTAAATTTAATACTAAATTTGCTGTTTGCAACGTGAATTTTTTTAGTACTTAAAAATGCATTAATTTAGTTCTAAATTTAGTACTTAATTTAGTATCGTGACATACAGCCTTAATATCCATCTCTAAATTCCAGTCTAACACCAGAACCACCTAGAACTTTAGAGACGTTGTAACCGAACTACGATTTTAGTTCAAGGACGACTTACCAAAGTCCGACTCCGTTTATAAATACGGACCTAAGAAAACAAACATCAAAAAGACGAGCAAGTAAATAAGGAAAGCTGATTAAAAAACATTGATTATATATATTTTTGTTATGTTCTCTAGTAATTAGGGCATTCCAACGACCTATCAAACTGCTGACAAGTAGGAACCAATGAACAGGGGACCTATTTTCAAAGTATGTGAGCACTCATTTCTCTCAAGATTCTCATCAGAAATGTCATACGTCAATGTGGAAACGCTGTATTTAAAGACATCGAGGATTAAAATTCTTAGGAAGATTTTAATTCTCTCTAAATAAACCGAGAGAAACAGTCAGTGAGTTCACACTGGCCCTAAGAGCCCTAAAAATACGGTTTTACGTTGACGTATGACATTTCTCTTGAGAGAAATGAATTCTCTCGAGTTTGAAAATAGCACCCCTGGAGTGGGGTAGAATGATAACTGTCAATGAAAAAGTCTGGACTATAGGCGAGTTCGGATAGTCAGGGGCGGGAGCGGGACAAATTTTAGGGTGCTTTTAAATGACATTTAAGCGTGTTAAACTGTCACTAATCGGACTAAACCACATACTTTGATTTTCTTTACTATACGGCGCAAGAGAGAGGTCCGACACGCCCAACATAGGGCCCGGCCATTTTGAACCCTATGCAACAGTTTATAGCTAAAGAATCAGATCGCTCACTCTGCGTCGGCACTTTTGATCTCAATGTTCCAGTTTATACACTGCGCAACTCGGATAATACAATATATAACAACCGCCTATAATAAAACAGCTGTCTTCTGCGTATTCTAAATTTGTATCCCTGTAGTGGATCTTATTTTGAAACTTTCAACTGGTCCGAGTGAGCTAACTGATTCTTTAGCAATAATCTGTGACTCAAAAAATAATATTCACTGACACTGACAGCCGCAAGCAAAATATCAGGTGCGTTTTAATCATCCGCTTCTGATTCCGGAATTGTCGGTTTAGTCGTTTTAACTTGTCAAATTAAAACAAGAAAACCGACAATTCCGAAGCAGAAGCGGATGATTAAAACGCACCTATTAAAAATAGTGCGCCAAGATGTAGGCAACACGTAATAAGGGTTCAAAATGGCGGAGTTTTCTATCTCCTTTTAAAAGGCACTCAGAAAGCTGCGCAGTGCGACCATTCTCCGTATAGTAAAAGAAAATCAAAGTATGTGGACTAAACTGAACGATAAAAGGGTCGTTTGGAGTTAAAAGTGTTAAAGGAGTTAAAGGAACTTGGCAGACCGAACGCAATGACTATGCACAATTTCGTTTTGCACATTTTGTAAACAAAACTCAGGGACGGTTTAACAACATTTTGTGCAACAATTATAAAATAGTGCATCGAAAAATAATTAACAAGTATAATTTAATACTAAATCGGAATAAAAGCATAAAAAATCATAAATATAAGCAAGATAACAAAGAATTGACGCCAAAAAAGCTTACAACAGCCAAAACACAAACAAAAAACAGAGCTGAACATGAACATAATCGCTGAATAAAGTCGATCCTGGAATTTGTTTACAGTGCTTTAGGGCAACCTCTCCTTGTCATTTACGTGTGTAAGAGTGGAAGGCTGAATCACGCATAATTTCTACACTCGTGATGGATGCGCAGACGGTACCCAATGAACTGGAGGGGGGTAGAATGCCAATGTACATGTTGTACTATTAGAACAAGGTGCGACTCGATGGGCGCAGCCATTTTTATTGTTCATCTCACTCGGGACTATTTATAATAACCATTTTCTGTTTCACATTGTTATTGTTCAATCCACAAGCTGGTTGATCAGACAATAACAATGTGAAATAGGAAATGGTTATTTTAAATACTCCCGAGTGAGATGAAAAATAACCTATCTTCGCCCATAGAGTCGCACATCAAGTCTATTGACAAGCATTCTACCCCACTCCAGTTCATTGACGGTACCTTATCGTTCTACCCTCTCTACTTCTTTTATTTTTCTATGGTAGGAACTGACATTTAGATATGGCAATCCTGTTGTCATTGACAGGGTCAATGTATATAGTTATATAGATTGCTCAAAGTGGGTCGTTTACGAGCGGGCATATTGCCTCACAAGTGCTCATTATTCAGACTCGATTTTACAAAAATGTGTTTACAAACCAATATTTAGCCTTTCAGTACAGTAAAAAAGGATTATCTACATTTTTACTTCAAGGCATATCTTTATTTTGAAAAATATGGATGATCAATCTATGTAACTATCTATTTCATTGACCTTGTCACAAATCACCAGACCTACAGTGTTGCCATAATATAACCTGTCAAAACCCACTGGTAGCAATTTTGTTTGGAATGCCTATAGAAATGTTCTGGCATAAGTGTTTTCCATGTGTTTCCCATTTAAATTACCGACCTTGATATTCACATACTTTGATTTTCTTTTACTATACGGAGAATGGTCGCACTGCGCAGCTTTCTGAGTGCCTTTTAAAAGGAGATAGAAAACTCCGCCATTTTGAACCCTTATTACGTGTTGCCTACATCTTGGCGCAATATTTTTAATAGGTGCGTTTTAATCAATGAACTGGAGTGGGGTAGAAAGTTAATGTGCATATTTTATCAATTGAACAAGATGCGACTCTATGGGCGCAGCCATTTTTATTTCTCATCTAACTCGGGAGTATTTATAATAACCATTTTCTGTTTCACATTGTTATTGTTCAATCCACAGGCTGGTGGATCAGACAATAACAAAGTGAAATAGAAAATGGTCGTTATAAATACTCCCGAGTGAGATGAAAAATAACCTGTCTTCGCCCATAGAGTCGCATCTCAAGCCTATTGACAAGCATTCTACCCCACTCCAGTTCATTGGTTTTAATCATCCGCTTCCACATTATACAAGGCAAGAGAGAGGTCCGACACGCCCAACACAGGGCGCGGCCATTTTGAACCCTGTGACACAGTTTACAGCTAAAGAATCAGATCGCTCACTCTGCGTCGGCACTTTGGATCTCAATGTTTCAGTTTATACACTGTGCAACTCGGATAATACAATATATGACAACCGCCTATAATAAAACAGCAGTCTTCTGCGTATCCTGAATTTGTATTTCTGGAGAGGATGTTATTTTGGAACTTTCAAGTGGTCCGAGTGAGCTAACTGATTCTTTAGCAATAACCTGTGACTTCAAAAATAATATTCACAGCAGCAAGCAAAATTTCAGGTGCGTTTTAATCATCCGCTTCTGCTTTCGGAATTGTCGGTTTAGTCGTTTTAACCTGTCAGATTAAAACAAGAAAACCGACAATTCCGAAGCAGAAGCGGATGATTAAAACGCACCTATTAAAAATATCGCGTCAAGATGTAGGCAACACGTAATAAGGGTTCAAAATGGCGGAGTTTCCTATCTCCTTTTAAAAGGCACTCAGAAAGCTGCGCAGTGCGACCATTCTCCGTATAGTAAAAGAAAATCAAAGTATGTGACTGGATGGCTATATGACATAAACCTTACTCCTAATTTCTAGCAATGAACTGGAGGGGGGTAGAATGCCAATGTACATGTTTTACTATTAGAACAAGGTGCGACTCGATGGGCGCAGCCATTTTTATTGTTCATCTCACTCGGGACTATTTATAATAACCATTTTCTGTTTCACATTGTTATTGTTCAATCCACAAGCTGGTGGATCAGACAATAACAATGTGAAATAGAAACTGGCTATTTTTAATACTCCCGAGTGAGATAAAAAATAACCTATCTTCGCCCATAGAGTCGCACATCAAGTCTATTGACAAGCATTCTACCCCACTCCAGTTCATTGATTTCTAGCCGATGTGAAAAAACGGTCGGTGCGCATGACAATTTGGACGCTAAACTGTCAATTTCGAGCATCTACGTCACGTTTCCCACGGGCGTACTATATTATATGACACCCTTTAATTTAAGAAAATCACCTAAAAATTATTTTTGATTAAGGGTCTATTTATACTCCCTTATTATTAGTATTTGCATTAGTATTATGATTAAGCATTAAGTTGAACCTTCACAATGTAATGGGGACATTTATACTCGATTTATGATTAGTATTAGCATTAATATTTATGCTTATTAATTGACAGGTTCAACTTTTAAATTAAATATTAAATTTCTTCTTTTCTATAAATAATCAATGGCGTATTTGGCCTTTGTTTTTAATAGACAACGGATAAGGATAATTGACAATACACATATGATTATGTTGTTTATATGTTTGTTCCAACAAGCTCGAAAACGATAATATTTCGGTACAAATCATGCTCTGTATACAATTTTTGTGTATCAGCAGTGTTCACCGATTATAAAGTTGACAAATGACATGTCACCACGAGGAAGCAAAGGCCTCTTTTCTGTCTGATTTGTATAAAATTTCTGCTTCTTTTTATTTGTTATAAATTTGAGACTTAAATCCGTTAAAATGTCCTTAATTAAACCTATTTTTGAATAATAATATTTTTAAATAAAACTAACTAGTAAAAATATTAATAGAAACACATTTAAAACTCAAATATCTTAAAAGAACACAACCGGCCTCTTACACATTTCTTCAGTAACCATATATTTTGTTGACTGCAGAATTATATCTTATTAGGTATTAGGTTTAAAAAAGAATTACTAATACTAATTATAAAACGAGTATAAATACCTTTTTTGAATGATTTAACAAATTTAATGCTTAATCATAATACTAATACAAATACTAATACTAAGGGAGTATAAATAGACCCTAAAACGCAGCTGAAACAAATGTTCCAATAATAATAATAAATATTATTAAAATAGCGCGTTATTAATAAAAAATAATATAGTGTTACATTTAATTTTGATGATCCGTTTTAGTGCATTTCGATACGCACATGTGGGCGCCGAAGTGTCAAATATCACCTCGCTATGCGGCTTGATTTTGTTCTTTTGATCGGCTTTGTTCTTCCAGTTTAATATAGTTCAGTTCAGTGGTCAGATGAGATTCCGCTAGAAAAAGTGAGATAGTCGCTGTTTACATCTTTGCTCATCGATGTCGGTCTATAACCATTTATGTCGGTGGTGAATGGTGAATCATCTCACGAAACTGATCCTATCACGTCACACGTCAACAAATATTTGTCAACATTTGTCAAGTGATGGTTTTAGACATTCTAGATTAAATATTTTAAATTACAAGCTATGGATTAATTATTATGTACGCAAAAATCATATAAAAGGGCATTTATCGTATAAATTATGTATGTAATACTAAAGTTTGCTATGAAATCAAATAATATGAATCAAAATGAGTTGGTTTGATGCTGCTGGTTTAGCTAATATAGCCAAATCTGCTCTGAAGGAAGCTCAGAGGACAATAGATAAAGCATTAGATATTAAGGAAGATGGCCTAAATTCCGCTCCTGCTAATACTCCTGTTGACCCCAATTCCGAAGATTTTTTTGGAACTTGGGGAATAGCACAACCTAGTTCTAGTGGAGAGGATAAAAAATCTAGTACATGTAATAGTTCAAAGGACAATAAAATTTCTAATAGTATTTGGGGATCGTTCACAGGTTCTTTTTTTGAAAATGAAAATGAAGTAAGCAAATCTGATTCAATTACCAGCCTAGATGATACTCTGGATGGTGTTGAACATTTTAGTCAAAGTAAACTAGTCGTACAGAATGTTGAAGACATAAATCATCGAATATCTGACCATACTATAAGTGAGGAACTGGATGATGAAAATGAAAAAGTTCCTCAGCAAGCTGAAAATGCTGATTTAATCCCAGTAAACTTAAGTAAGTTCAATACTTTTTATAAAATAAGTTTATTTCCCATGTTTTATTTAAAAATAAATTACTTTTCTTTAATTTTTGTTTAAAACTTAATTAAAAACAAAGTGACTTATAGCTTATTTAAAACCAAACTGAAACAGTACCTAATAGAAAAATTTCCATATAGCTTTGATTAATTTTTCTGTAATTAATGTTTTCAATGTCCTACTACACTTTTTTTTGTTTATACTTTTTATTTCAATTTAACATAAGTATTCTTAGCTAACTGTATTTACCTATTTTATATTCTTATTTTTATGGGTTTTACTTTTAATTTGTATTTTCTTGTATTTATTGTTATTATATAGTGTGACATTTCCTATATCATGTAAATGATCTTTTAGGATAATCTATCTATCTATTTAGTCCAATTAAATAGACCTTTAAATCAAAATTTTGGAGGAAATATAGGAATTTTTGATATGTCACTTTAGAGTATTTGAAAAGGATATGTAAGGACATGTAAAAAAAATGTGTTTCTCAGGCACCCGCAAATGTCAAAAAACAAGAAAATTAAATGTTTTTTTTAAGGTTATTTAAAAACGATAGGAGCTATAAAAAAAAGTTTTAAATAAAAATTGTAAAGAATATAGTTTTACATAAAAATGATATTTGACATTTTTTGCTATTATTAAAACTGATAGAGTTAGGATGGTTAGAAATTAGGAGGAGATATATATGGCTTGGAAAAATCATAGCCAGCTGAAAAATCAATGATTTTGTAATTTCTTTTTATTATTTACTCAGAAAGTTATAAATTTCTTTTAGGAAAAAATATTTTTTTCATTTTTTAAGTTATAACAATTTTAATTTAGAAATTTTCAATATATTTTACAAATTCATATAATAAAATAAATTTTGAAGTAAACTTATCATGAAAAATATGAGGAGTGAACTAATAAAAACGACATTCCGACAGTTTGGTCCCCACTCGAAGTTCCATTAAATAAATAAAAATAAAAACAAATTAAAAAGAACTAAATAAAAATATTAAAAAAAAAAATAAAAATGAAAATAAAAATAAAAAATTAAAATATATAAATAAAATTAAACAAAAATAAATAAAAAGATAATAGTAAAAGAAAATAACTAAAAATAAATACAAATTATTTTTATTTATTTTTGTTTAATTAAATTTTTTGCTTATTTTTTTAATTATTTTTTATTTTTTTATTTTTTTTAAATTATTTTTATTTATTTTTATTTTTTTAAATTATTTTTATTTATTTTTGTCTATTTAAATTTTTTGTTTATTTTTTAATTAGTTTTTTATTTTTATTGTTTCATTTTTTAAATTATTTTTATTTTTTTACACTTATCTTTCCATTTATTTTTGTTTAATTTTATTTATTTTCATTTATTTTTTTTATTTTTATTTGTTTTTATTTAATTATTTTTATTTATTTTTAATTTTTTAGTTTTAATTAATTTTATTTATTTTTATTTAAATTTTTGTTTTTTTAATGAGTTTTTTTATTTTTATTTTTTTATTTATTTTTACTTATTTGTATTTATTTTTTTTGTTTTTATTTTATTTTTTTTAGTTTTAATTATTTTTATTTATATTTATTTATTTTTAATTTTTATTTATTTATATTTTATTTATTTGTATTTATTTTTATTTATTTAATGGAAATTCAAGTAAGGGCCAAATTGTCGCTATGTTGTTTTATTAGTTCACTACTCATATTTTTCATGTCAGTCAAGCTAATAAATTTACTTTAAAATTTACTATATAAATTCGCACAATTAATTGAAAATTTCTATATTAAAATTGTCATAACTTAAAACAAAAAAAAATAATTTTTCTTAAAAGAAATTTATAATTTTCTGAGTAAATAATAAAAAGAAACTACAAAATCATTGAGTTTTCAGCTCGTTATGATTTTTCCAAGCCATATATATCTCCTCCTAATTTCTAACCACCCTAACTCTGTCAGTTTTAATAATAGCAAACAATGTCAAATAATATTTTTATGTAAAACTTTATGCTTTACAATTTTTATTAAGAACTTTTTTTATAACACCTACCGTTTTTAAATAATCTTAAAAAACACTTTATTTTCTTGTTGTTTGACATTTGCCGGTGCCTGAAACACAAAATTTTTTTACATATCGTTTTCAAATACTCTAAAGTGACTTATATCAAAAATTCCTGTATTTCCTCCAAAATTTTGATTTAAAGGTCTATTTGATTGGACTATATTTATGTACTTATGTCTAGTTTGAGCACTCCTCAAGTCAACATAAATGTTTCAGTCAAATATTAGCGAGGAAATGCCATGAATTTGTCTTCATCAATAAACAGGTTATCTCTGTTATTCAATACTTTATCATTGGAATTCATTATTCTTTTAAAAAATTAATGATTTAGGTGAGGAAATCAGTTACTCTCACTTGGGTACCGGGACATGACAGGGTAAAGGGTAACGAGATTGCAGATAGTCTTGCAAGGAAAGGGACTCAAACATTTTTTGTGGAACCTGAGCCTTTCTGCGGTAAAAGCAGTAACACAATATTAGAAGAGATTAAAAAAAAATTGGACAGTCGAAGAATCGATAATTGGAAAAATCTCTTGTGGTTAAAACAGACTAAGATACTTCTGGGTGAATATAACCAGAAAAGATCGGAAGCCCTTATCAGCCCCTAGCAAAAACAGGCCACACATTGTAACAGGGACCCTTACCAAGCATTGCCGCCTCAAAGGACAAACTGAGAGTAGTAGAAGATAGTGATTGCAAATTGTGTGAGGAGGAGGATAAAATCTCCATTCACATTCTGACTGAATGTGTAGCACTCCAGAATACAAGGGCACTTAGGAACACACCAAATAGAAGAGGTTGATCTGAGTAACTTGAAGCCACTCCAAATCCTACACTTCATTGAGAAGAAAGGATTGGAAGGGTTGTTATATGCATTGAGACTATTTACTCGATACATTAGAGGCACAATATACATTTTAGGACGCAGTGTATTATTAATACCACATACCCAACATAACATAACTATTATTTTGATAATTGTTGATAATTTTGCCAAGGGATTCATCAGCTGACCTAAGTAGCTTAGTAGTGACCGGCAAAACGTATATATCGGACTTATAATGTCCATCAGGAAAACCACTTAAGAACTACAGCAGATTAAAGATGTGACAATTATCTTATTTTCAATAATTTATTAACTGAATTAAAAATGAAGTATAATTGTGATTTGTTACTTATATGTGATATGATGTTTATGTTTCTACATGTTCATCTTTTTCTGCATGATCTATAATTTATCCATCACACACAGCCTAACTTTGGGTTTGTAATCAAATGTAGTATGTATATTATTTTGTGGTCCATAAAAAAATAGTATTATAAAAGTATTATTATTTCTAGTGCTCCAATATTCAAACAAGTTATTACATCATCAATAAAGTTTTTTAGAAACATCAAAAACAGCTCAAACTAGACATTTACCACAGTGTATTCCAAATATTCAATTTGTCTTTTTTTCTGTTATAGATGAAAATGATTTAAATAATGAAAATATTACAAGTACTGTCAAAAGGAGAGAACAACAATCAAATTCACAAATAAATAGGTTATCTGTCTTGAGTGCTGAAAGTGGAAAAAATAGTTCTGAAAGTGCTGACATTGTAACTTGTAGTACAGATTATATGACAAGTCCAGAATCTGAAATGCTATCTACTGCTATTTCTTCTTCAAGTTCTAATATAGGTGATAACAAATATTAAAAACCTTTTCTCTTTTAGTTTAATTGAAAACATTTATATACGCTGGTTTCCTAATCTCAAAAGAAATTATTTTTCCCTGTTTTATATGAATAAATTGTCATAAGAATCTGGTTTATTAAATCAGTTGAATACAGTTCCATCACTGTACCAAGACTATAACACTTATAGCGGATTCGACTGGCTGCATTTAGTTCGACTTTTTTAAGTGGTGTCTGTTCGACTGGCAGAACCTAATTAATTAAAAGTCAATTATTGCATTCGACTGAAATTGCTCGGAACCAAGGCATAGTGAAATGTTTGTTCGATTGGCATATGCTCTTGCTCAAAGTTCGAATTTTTTGGAACTGTACTTTTTTTTCAGTGCCAGTGTCATTTTGGAGGTTAAGAATTTTTGTTTTTATTATTAGCGAGAATGGAAAATCTTTGAAATTAATAGAGATTTAATTTTTGGTTTGGCAACTATAAATAAATATTGTTAAAAATTTGTTAGAAACCTGAAATGTCAAGTGCTAACTGTGCCAGTCGAATAACAATAAAGATGTGCACACCAATGTCAAACTCTAGCTCGTGCTAGCCGTGTGCGCTGCTAGATATAAATTTGAATTATAAAAATGCTGCCCAAAAACAAATCAGAACTAAAAGCGCTTTGTCATCGAGCAAGAGCATTTGAGTCGAATCCGCTATTAATGATTATGCTAGGGAGAGGATGAACCAGTTTACAAGACTGTTTTACTTCATATTTTTTTCGTCCTTAGTTTTGTCACATTGTTTTTGTGTCCATATGTTTATTAAAATGTATTACATTATTTAAGGGCCAGTCTTTTCACCTCTGAGTAAAGTTGAAAGTAACTACTTGCTTATTAAATTATAAGGCTATTGTTTGTTAATCTGTCAAGTAAACCTACATGTAACTTATTATTTGTCCAAAGAATTAGAAGATAGTTTTTTTGATATGTGAATCCCCAAATTTGATTTTTACCAAATAAAACATTTTTAGACTATTAAATTTATATCCAAATATATTCTGGTATATTATAGGTTTGTTCCTACAGATCCATTCTGATGTGAATCTGTCTCCTGCATGGATGCTTTGGTAAACTAACAAGTATGCATGTCAGTCAATTGCATGTCAGTGACTTGTACTTGTTGATACGAAAAATGCAGTGGATATAGAACAAACCCAAATCAGCCACATGTTAGGTGAATAGGTATTTTAATTTAAAATCTTCAAATTTCTTATTTTTATTAAGTATTTAGGTACATAAAAAAAAAGTACACAAATAATAAAAATATTAACACTTCAAGTAAAAGAAACCTAAATCCAGGCTAATTTAAAACCATAACAATAATAAAGAAATATCACTAATAAGAAGAGACACATGTGCTGATACATTGTACAAGTAATAAAACTACTGATACTTTGACAATTTGCTGACACATTCATGCATAAATCAGAACGTTTTTCTAACAGTTCATAGGATTTTTAGCATTGTAGGAGCGGACTATTTTTAATGCACATGTATCTGATGACCAGGGGACCTGTAGGAACAAACCTTTGCGTTTTGCTTAAGTTAGATGGTCCTGGTATGATATTGTTAGTAACACCAGCAATAAATTAATTTAAGAATAACCACCAGAAATAAAAAAAAAATGGAAAAAATTCGATCCTTTTGTCAGTGAGTCTATAAGAGATAGTTTTATTGTGTAATATTTCAAGGAAAGAGTTTTTCAAAAGATATTTCCAAAAAAGTGGATTTTGTTAAAATTAAGTGGATACTCTAAAAAACTACAAAGAAACTGGTATTTACATTATGCCATTCAGTTTGGGAGGCTAAGGAAATTTAACACATTTCACTATATATGATATTAGGCATTACAACGACCTGTCAAACTTCTGCTTGTGGGATTGATATGCTGGGTGGCTTTGACAGGGTCAATGATATATGTCTTTATATGGATTGTTCAAAGCGGGTCGCATTGTGAACTGCCATATTGCCTCGCAAGTGTTCATTAATCAGAATCGGTTCAGCAAAAATGTATTTTCAGAGTTTAAATACAGTAAAAAAAATAATTACCTACATTTTTACTTCGAGGTAGGAGCTTATGTTACTTTTGAAAAACATGGATGTTCACTCTATATAACTTATATATTATATTATTGACCCTGTCAAATCCACCAGGCCCATAAGGTTTCCATAGCAAGGCCTACATGCAACTATTTTGTTTCGAATGAATAAATTCATTAATTTTTTTTTGAGGTTATATCGTCTCCTTAATACTACAACTAGGTAACTCAAAATTTGTTATTTTTCAGGAGAGGAGTTTTAAATTTGGCAATTAGAAAAGAGGCGTATTACGGCAAATCAAAAAGATTTTTGACTATTTCGCAGGTTGTTGAAATGAATCGAAATCCTGATTATTTTTAAAAGATTTAAATCTCCGTTTAATTTTTTTTGTTATTTATAAACAAGATATCTAGTTTTAAACATTAAAAAAACAAATATATTATCTAGTTTTTGAACTAGCAATGAGTACAACTTTTTATTGCTTGAAAGATAAAGAAAAATAAAGAACAAATAATAATTAATGTACCTAATTATTAATAAATCTTCCTTACACGCTCTCGTTTATGTTGGAATTATCCTTCTTTAAAAGGTAGATTTTCAAAATAGGCTTTATTTTCAAAGGGAATTAGGGGAGGTTTGGTGTTAAATAATGACAATAGAATTTAGCTATTTGTAGCTTTAAAAAGAGCGTGCAGAACTCTACCGGTAATAGCAGATAACTCAAAATCACAAAAATTCAAGTTACCTAGTTGTAGTATTAAGGGAACGATATGCTGTAACATTATTATTGGAAGCAATTATCTCATATGAAAAAATATCGGAAGCAGAGAAATAAATGGAACAAAAAATGGCATATTAAACTAAACCAAATCATCTGTTCATATTAACTTTACTAATAAAAAAAAGATCAACAAATACCAATTATCATATATAATGCCAAAGATCTCTTATATTAAATTAGATGCAAGACTTCACCCAAAAATTAAAGAAAATATTTTTTGATCCTCTCACATACCTATATACATTTCTTGATGAATAATTGTAGTCACCTCTTATAGATCTTATTATTTTAAAATAATAATTTTACTTTCTAAATAGTTTTTTATTATAATTTAGGTTTTCAACCAACATCAGATTCTGTCGAAATCTTAGGTGACAGTTTAATAAGTCCCAGTTCTGTTGAAATAATTGGTACTAATAGTACAAACAGTAGAAGACATTCAGATTACACTGATGAGGTGATTTCACCTTTACTTTCTCCTTGGCCCGAAGATGAAAAATATGTGTAAGTTAACCAAAATTACTTTTTTTTTTTGGTTGGTAGTTTGGTAGTTATATTAAGTGTATTTAAAAACATAATTTCGATTAGCTTGCCCTTTAAATATAGGTATTCAAGAGTGAAGCAGACATTTGCAAAATATAGAAAATCATGTTTTTTAATTACACAATAATGTTAAACACTGTTGGTCTGCAATAACATTTTAAATAACACAAAATAAGGTACATACTTGATTCGGTAATATTCTAAATTATGAATTATTTTTAGTAATAAAATACAATTTTTTTTAAAGTAGATTGAATATAAATGAAATTGTATTTTTAGGGCTATTGATAAATTGTCACCTGAAAGTGTTGAAGTAATTCAGGAAGATCAAGATGAAAACAGTATTGCTGAGGATACAATGTCTTATACGTCTGTTTCCGAAAGTACTTCAGCCACTGTACTCGATTCAGCCCTTAATTCTCATCTTAGGCCTCAAAAAATGCTTAAAGATACATTTGGCTTACCTGAAACTGTAAATGAAAATAGCATTGATAATTCAAGTTATAGCTACTTAGATGCAATCACTAGAGCTCCCAGTAGAAGTGCAATGCAGCTGCCTTTAACACAAGTTTTAATTGATACCCAACCACAGAGTATCAAGCAAGACTTATCAGATATATTACAAAAAACTAATATTATAGATATTCCTTTGGAAACTGAAAATGCAAATTCTAGTGAGAATCAAATGGATATTTCTACTGATGACAGTTCACAATCAGACAAAACTATAACTGGTAGTGACAATGTAATGGAAAGTAGTAGTGATACCTCTACAACTACTGAAACAAGTAGTAAATCTGCCTATTTAAAAAATTTGCTAGCAGATGCAATGACTGAAAAAAGTGGGTCTGATCAACAGAGGTCACCAAAAACTTCAGATTCTAGTCAAAAATATTTATTGGAGAGTATTTCTCTGTCTACTGTTGATCCAATTCCCAGAGAAAATTCTCCTATTAGTTCAGAAAGCCGTTCTGATTTGGTAAAAATAGGATCAGATCATACCTCTGGCCATACTTCAGGAGATGAGTTAGAAACAACTACATCTTCAGATATAGAGATAATTTCTAGTCCAAATGGTGATTCTAGCAGTACTCAAAGTCGACAAAGTCCTGCTAAATACACTTCTGTAAGGTCTAAAGCAGCAGGTGCTGCCGGAGATTCATTATTAGGGAAAGTAACAATGAAAAAAGTTAAAGGCCATACTAGAGAATTGTCAGAGGCATCCAGCATTAGTGATGATTTACATCCGCCAGAGGTAGACCGGCTACTGAAAAAAATTGCGGAAATAACTGAAATTTTGGAGTCCAGAGAATCAAAACTTATTGATATGAATAGAAGAAATGCCGAGTTACAAGAGCAGAACAGCACATTACATTCTCAATTGAATACTATTATGAACAAACAACTAGAAAGTGCCGATTTATTTCAAGTAACAGAAGAATACACTCAAAGAATGTCAGCTATGGAGAAAAAATTTCAACAGGCAATTAGAGAAAAAGACAGTTTAAGGAAGCAACTGGATCAGATGAAATTAGAGGCTGCAAGTCGAATGAGTAAAGGAGAAATGGAAAGTTTAAAAGCAGAAAAAGATGAAGTTATAAAAGAATTAAGGGAAGAAGGTGAAAAGTTATCTAAACAGCAATTGCAGCATTCCAATATAATAAAAAAGTTAAGGGCCAAAGAAAAGGAGCATGAAAACACTATAAAACATCTTAGGTAAGAAATGCTCCCATGAAATATTAAAAAAAAGGATCTTTATTGGTAATCGTACAACTTTTACACAATTACCAAATGGCCATCGACCGGAGTCCTTCAGCCTATTATGTTCAATATGTTGTAATTGTGCTCAAAAAAAAAAATTACCAAATTGCTTAAAATAAAAAAAAATAAATGACAGATAATTTTATATGAAATGAATGTTCTTAATGTATATTTCTATATTGTTCAATGAGCGCCCAGAGAGTTCTTTGTGGATGTCTTCTCTGTTGTATTTCTCGGTTTCTTCTTCTACACATGGTCTGTATTGCTATGATATTTCTTTGGCGTTTGTAGTATTTTTCTGACATGCTGGCGAGTCTTCTTTCTATGTGTTGAGTTTTTGTTTTCCCATATAGCATATCATTTGACGGATCATGTAGTGGATTTCTCGGATGTCTCATTTTTGTTATAGCCCTAAGCGTTGAGGTTTCTGCGACCTACAAGTTTTATAAGGTGGCAGTATTCCAGAATGGGTCTACAGATAGTGCGGTATATATGGGAGGCGGTTGTTAGAGAGATACCTTGTTTTTTGTATGTCAACACGTAAAATGCTTTCCTCTAGTAATACATTTTTTCTTTATGTTGCTGGTGTGCTGCTTGAAGTTCATTTTATTGTTTAATGTGAAGCCCAGGTATTTAGCATCATTTGTAAAAGCGATTTGTTTAGATCCAATTGTTACTTTCGGTGAGTTCGGGGTAATTTTATGGTAAAAATAAAATATTAATCTATTTAAAGTAGTTTTTTTTTGTAATAAATTCATTTTCTTTTAGAGAAAGCATTGAAAGTTTATCAACGGAATCAGAACGACTCAAAAAGTCATTAACAGCAAAGGAAGAAGTTGAACGAACACAAATAGAAGCTGTTCATCAATTGACTTCAAAAAATAAGAAATTAGAAACTGAAATTAATAAAATAAAGGGGCAGTTGGACGATCTAACACAGAAATACGACACTACCAAAAAGTCACTAGATGCAGCAAAAAAAGAACTTCAAGAAAAATCTCGAACTAGTTCGGAATTGCAAATGAGGGAACATTTATTAGACTCTTTAGAAAATCAGAAGAAAATGACTGAATCACAAAATTCCGAAGTATGAATTGAATAATCTATAATTATTGAACATTTTATAATGTTTTTAAACTTTCAGCTTCTTGACCAATTAGAGGATTTAAGGCAGCGCTTAAGACAATATGAAGATGAAAATATCAAGAACGAAGAGAAGTTTCGAGAAGACAAACATAAATTAATTAGAAAATTAGAGGAAGCTGAAGCTAGGAATGAAGAATTATCCCAGTCAGTTTTGGAGGTTAGCAAACCATTGATTCGTCAATTGGAGTCTTTACAAGCCACACATTCTATGAAGCTTGCCAGTTTTGAAAAAATAGAAGAAGAACTAACATTGAAAATTAGTGAGTCACTTATTTTAATATATTCTTCCAAGTGGTTCTAGAAGTGCACTGGAATTTAGAGATGGACAGTAACAAATCCGTACATGTACTGGATGTCCAAATATACAATTATGTTAGCTGTAAGGAAACTGATAAAAATGGTGAAGATGAATTGCTGGAAATTATGTTCAAGTTTCTAGCTTCACCACTAGATAATGTAATGCTTAAGATTAATTATAAACAGATAACCAAGAGAGTAGTCAAACTTGAGTAAAATTTCGCATAGATTATGATTTTTACATTTTTGACATCATTTGAATTTTTATCATTGGCCATGAGCATTACGTCCGTAGCGGTGAATCCTAATTTCCAGGCAATTCCAGGGATCCCTTTTGTTAAAAAAAATCTCGGATCTGCATAATAAACTGTTCCTAGTTATGATTAGCGTCCTTGAACTCCAGATTACATTTACAGATTTGAAACTGTCCATTTCTAAATTCTCCTAATACATTTATTTAAAAAAAAAACCTTTTCTCAATTTTCGATTTTAAGAGACAAAAAATCGTATATTAGCTAAAGGTATTAAGTCTTTGTTTTTCAAATATACAACTTATTGAAGTTTTCAATTCAACTAAATTGCAATTTTTTTAGCTGAACTGCAAACAAAGTTACAAACATCCTCCAGTTCGGAACGAATAACTAAAGATGAATGTATTCAGTTGAGATCAAAATTTTCGGAATTGGAGAGTCAGTTAAGTAGTGCTCGCCATAAAATGGAGATTTTAGAAATGGAATTAAACCAACGACAGACTGAAAAAATTATTAGCGAACAAGAACTGAATAATAAAATAGATAATTTAAATGATACCATTAAAAATTTTAAAGAAACAATTAGTGAAAAGGAGAAAGAAATTTCTAACTTACAGCAGCAGCTGAGTTTGGAAAGGGCCGTCAACGAATCTGAAAAGAGACAAAATGTGTCACAGGTAAACCAGTTTACATTCTGTAGCGCTGGTCTTATTGCTACTAAATAAAAAATGTTTAAATAATTAAAATTTATTCAGTCGTCGAAAATATAATGATATAAAACATAAAGGTTGTCTGTCTGGCGTTCGTCGTTGTTTCGTAGTTGTTGATCTTCTATCTTTTTTTTGTTTTTCTATCTTGCTTTTTGTTTTTATCCCCTTCCCGTAATCAAGGTTCAGCGGGAGAATAGGATGCACAAAGGTTATTGACCATAAATGCATTATAATCGAATATTAAAACATGACATCAGTTCCTGCCATTGCCAATTGACTAACCTCAAAAATGTCGACCTTAATCTCTTACAGTCTCAAACACATACTTTGATTACTATACGGTGCAAGATAGAGGCCCGACACGCCCAACATAGGGCGCGGCCATTTTGATTCCTATGCCACAGTTTATAGCTAAGAATCAGATCGCTCACTCTGCGTCGGCACTTTTGATCTCAATGTTCCAGTTTATACACTGCGCAACTCGGATAATACAATATATGACAACCGCCTATAATAAAACAGCAGTCTTCTGCGTATCCTGAATGTGTATCCCTGGAGTGGATGTTATTTTGGAACTTTCAACTGGTCCGAGTGAGCTAACTGATTCTTTAGCAATAAACTGTGAATCCAAAAATAATATTCACTGACAGCATCAAGCAAAATATCAGGTGCGTTTTAATCATCCGCTTCTGCTTCCGGAATTGTCGGTTTAGTCGTTTTAACCTGTCAGATTAAAATAAGAAAACCGACAATTTCGAAGCAGAAGCGGATGATTAAGGGTCGGTTTTTCAATGTCCAGTCAAAGTGGCTGTTACGTAGCTGGTAGTCAAAGTCCCTGTTACCGATGGAACGTGGATGGAACTGTTTTTCAATCATCACGAATTTAAATGCTAGCTACGTACCTAATAGTTTTTCATTCTTAGCCAGGTTGGCATTTCTGCTAATTTGTTAAATGGTTTTTATTGGATAATTTAAATTTTCCGCTTTACATATCGTGTCTTGTGTTGATCGTCACCGACCAGTAAGTGTTCTGTGTCACCGACCTTCACATAAAAATTGTTCTATTTTGCTTCCATTTTTTTTATGACAGTTGTTATTTTTTGTTTTTGGGTAATTGCGGTGATTTAGAAAAAAAGAAAATACCTAATTACGCGGCATCAGATAGAGCCCTACTATTGAAATTTGCTTATCTTAGAATAAAAAATAAAAAAAACAGAAAATGCAATATCACGGAAACGAAATGAGAAGGTTGCAGAAAAATCTAAAAAAAAATAAAATTTAGAACAATAATATCAAAATAATTGGGCCGTTCCCTTCAGGGCCGCCGAGAGCCAGGCCGGGCCCCAAGAAAAACTTTTCCTCTTCTAGTTGAATTGAGTTTCTAAAAAAAAAATCCTCAATTCTTCCTCTGCTTCAATTGCTTTTTCTAAAAAAAACATCTCCCAACCAAAAACTTCCCCCTCTCGTCTTGTGTCGAATTTCTCATACAAAACAGTTCTCGGGGTGGGCCTTTATACCGCTGCCGGGCCCCCATTTGAGTCCGGGCCCCGGGAACTAGTCCCGGCTACCCCCCCCCCCCTCTAGTCGGCCCTGGTTCCCTTACAATACACGGATTACACAGTCATCTTCGCTCATATTCAATAATTTAAATAATTTCTTTATCATCGTCGCTGTGAATGTATTCAAAGAAATCCATTTTTGAGAAATAATAAAAGTAATAAAAATATTAACCTCTAAATTTAAACAAACATCGTCCTACGCATGTACAATAAATAGCTGGCGGCTATCTGTACGAAATTACCACTTGCAAGTGTCGGTTACGGTTATAGTCAGAATAGCTGACGGCTATCGTATAACTGGAGGTCGAGAAACGTTTTGACAGGCAGTGGCTGACGGCTATCTCCGTAGCTGCCAGCTATCCTAAATAGCCGGAGATTGAAAAACCGGCCCTAAAACGCACCTATTAAAAATATTGCGCCAAGATGTAGGCAACACGTAATAAGGGATCAAAATGGCGGAGTTTTCTATTTACCTTTTTAAAAGGCACTCAGAAAGCTGCGCAGTGCGACCATTCTCCGTATAGTAAAAGAATATCAAAGTATGTGGTCTCAAATAAAAATGACATAAAAGTCAAACTAAAGGTAGGTTTATGTGGTGATCACAATGTCGCCACACATTCAAGGCCTTTAGATATATGCTAAAACTAGATCATTTCAAAATATCCCGATGCTATTATTTAAAATAACACGATACAGCAGAAAGCCATGTCATTTCTGCTGTTGTCTAGATCTTGAGTTTTTGGGTAATTTTACCATTGCAAGCTGTAGCCCATTCGTGTGGGCGTAATAGATTCTAACGCCAGCTTATTTATTTACATATTTTATTGTTGTATGAGGAATAAAAGAAGCAAATGTTATAAAACCGAATAATTAATTTTCAATAATTTTAAATAAGTGAATGTTATTAAACTACTAAAATAATTTTATTAATTTGTAACAATTTTTAAGCATCATTGAACAAAGTTTTTTATTTTCGTTTTATGTCTTAGGTGTATATACCTAATCAGTCTCAGTTTGTGTTTGATTTTTTATTCATGTTTGTTATGTGTAGGCGTTGTTACTGTTTCCTAACGCCACTTTAGGAACAGCGCCGTTAATTAGAACCCAACAGTGAATGGGGATCCTACAGAGGCATTATAATTACAAACAAAGGTACAATTTTATAATCCATAAATAAATATCAAAGTATCAACAACTGTCATTACTAGAAAAAATGCATTGCAAAAGAAGGAATACATTTTTAGTGATAAATAAAATCTTTCATGCACCACGTGCATTATTAAATAATAACGCTCATCGGGCAACATTTATCTCTCGGGTTAAAGGCCCTCTGGCAGTATCCTATCATCCTCCCGGCGATAGCGTCTATATAACTCCATTGCTACATAAATGCATAAATTTTATAGGTGGTTTCTTGGGGATGTTTATAATTAAAATTCAAAACATTGTATTTTCAAAGTTTCCGGCCCCAAATTAGACGGCCTTCTGTGGTTTTAATTTTTTTATTGTATGGAATTTTATGTAAATGATTTTTTTTGTTCGTTTTCCCCCTTTTTTAATATTACATTTTTGTTAATATTATTTCTTCTTTTTACATTCAAAATATAAATCTAAATTTTTTATGTACACAAATTTTGTTTATGGTTACATCTGTAAAAAATATTCATTTTAATTGGCTTGTCAACTATAAAACCCGCTTTTGGCCCGAATTCGAAGAAAACAAAACTGCAATCAACATGGAAACACATGAGATTTGTAAGTTACTATAAAGCCTTAAATATTTATAATATAGATATAAAAAGAAGAAAATAAATAACAATAACAAAAATGTAATATTCAAAAAGGGCTATAACAAACAAAAAAATACAAAATTCCACATGAATAAAAGAATAAAAACTATCGAGGAAGGCCGTCCAATTTGAGGCCGTCCAATTTGAGGCCGAAAGCTTTGATAATAGAAACAACGTTTTGAATTTTAATTATAAACCTTATCCCCCAAAACACTTATTTAAAAAAAATAGAAGGAATAGAAATGTCACATCCAAGAAAAATCTATTTTTTATGTTTTTAGGAACAACCGAATCTGTTAACTGAAAATAATTCTACAGATCTAAGAACTTCTCAGGCTGGCAGCGATTCTCCTACTTTAAGTTTGGGAAAAGTTTCAATTTCCGATTCTACGGCAGGCTCCTTTTGGTCACAGGTAAGTGAGAAGTCACTAATAAGTTACTATTACTTCCCTCACTTCTGTCTGTTATATTAGATGTTTCTGAAGATGTATGCAATATCCGAACATTATATTTTCAAAGTTTGTGTATATATATATGCTTTCAAAAACAAATTATTCAAGAATAATATACCTTCTGCATATCAAAGATTCAATAAAAATATTTGCCATAGATTCTTTGTTCATACTTTGCCCAAAGCATGCAATCTGTTACCAAGAGAGATTAGGCTTATTACTAAACTTAATCGTGTTTCATCTAAAACCAGAAAATTTATTTTTCAAAATTTCATTGATTTTGTTAAAATTTTAGAATAAAAACAATAATTAAATTTTATAGTGCTCGATCATGTAAAAATAAATGTTTACTAAATATTAAATGTGAGTTATAAATTTATAGAATTGCACAACACAAGTGTTCAATCACTTAGGTGCACAATCCTGTACTTTTTTATTATTATTATTATTATTATCATAGTTTGCCTTTATATATTTTTAAATTGTTAATTAATATTTCGCAATCAGTCATTTAAGAAAATTAGTATTTTAAAGTCGAGATTGTATAGTTTTGCAACATTTGTATTATAATTATATTTGTATCTAAAAACACGCTGAAGAAAAACCGTTCAATTGCAAAATATGTTCGAAACAGTTTAGAAAGAAAAGCCATTTAAATATTCATGAAAATATTCATACAGGAGAAAAATCGTTCCAGTTCCAAATATGTTCGAAACAGTTTACCAGTAAATATTTGAATCATCATCTAAAAATTAATACTGGAAAAAGGCCATTCAAATGCGAAGTTTGTTCGAAAGAGTTTAGAGAGAAACACCATTTGAATAATAATCTAAAAGTTCACGAGAAATATGCTTCGAATTTCTGTAATACATAATTAGTTATCTAAGAAGCAGTGAATGGTTGGTATCCCTTGGGATTAAAGAGGATTGTATTACATTTATTTTGATGTGAATTACATTAAAATTCTATTCAACTTTGATTGACGCTTTAATAAACTTAAAATAACGATGACACTCTTGAAGTTCTTCTTTACACTCTTTAAGTACTTCTTGACACTCTTGAAATACATCTGCTACTGAAACTTTGTACTAAGGAATTATGTTGCCAGCTTTTTTTATAAGAACAAACCGTATTGAGACAAGAAGTTTACTCTCTGGTCGTATGATCTGTCTTATGAGGAGTAAACCTGGCGCCACATAAGGTAGAAGTTCAGCTGCCGATCTTCAGCAGCAGAACGCCTCATTTTCCTATAATTTCTTGCAAGCAATTCGTTAACTCTTTACATTCAGCAGAAAGTTGGTTGAACTATGCAAAGATATGTAGCTGAACTTCTGTCTGATCTGGCGCTAGCCTAAAGCTGTTCTGTTTCACTTGTGTTAAGCTAACGGGTCTTTCACTTTACGTGAAAACATACATGTATTACTGAATTATTGTGGCATTACTTCAGTAATTCCAAGTAATGATTGATAATGCTAAATAATGTAAATGCATGTACTGTTCGGTAATAATTCCCTAGCTAATTCCATTTAATAATAATTTAATTAAAACTAGATAATAATGTAATAACATTTTCAAAAAAAAAACATGATAAAGTGAACTAAAATTCTTTATATTGGGATTAGTTTTTTTGCTCTAATTTTTTATCGACACACCGAAAAATATTAGCAATCACATTTATTATTTTAAATAGGGGAGAGTCTGGAATAGTGGGCACTTTTTTATGAAAACAAATAGTATTTCTATTTTATAAGTTATTTATCAGAGCTATTATTGACTATGGTTGTATTTTTTACAGATCGTCATCAAACACAAATTTAAAAAAAGTTGATCGCATACAATACAAAGCAATAAGACTGTCTCATACTAATGTGATTCTGACGGAAGCAAATGAACCACGTTTTAAGCGACAATAAATCGCTAACAAATATGTTACTAAGTTGAGCACATATAATTCGTCCTTAATGCTCAAAATTAGTAACCTGAATACGGAAATTTTAACAAACCGCTACTGGAGAATTAAAAACTCACTTTTATTGTCAGCTGCTTTTCTTGAACTCAGTCAATTTATTGAAACAATAGATATGTTACCTGTTTATGCATAGATACGAATCTATTTTTTTCAGAGTCCATCGTCATATTTCCGAACTATAATGAATTACCCTCCTATAATAAAACTTTATTACATTTTGCAATTATAAAAATACAATAATTTACACAGATAGAAGTAAAAATGTGAAATGAGTCGGTAGTGCCTACTATATATAAAATAATAAAGAAAATTTACAATTCAATTACCAAAGATTTTTAGCATTTTTACAGCTGAAGCTGTCGCCATACATAAAGCTCTGGAGTGGTGTGCGGAAAACAATGTACAAAGTGCAATAATGAAATCAGATTCAAAATCGGTGCTGGAGAGCTTAAAAAATATAACAATAAAACATTTGATAATTTTATTATATGTAAAATAAAAAACTTACTTTATCAGTTAGAATTTCAAAATGTTAAAATTATATTTATATGGACGAAAGGCATATATGGAAACGAGATAGTTGATAAGGCTGCAAAAGAAGCGAGGGTATGTACCAACCTTCTAAAAATTTCTTGTTACAAAGATGTTTACAGTATATTTCAAGATAATTACAAAGAATGGAATGACTATTGGAGAGAAATAACAAAAAAAGTTAAATAGTTCATATTTTTCTATCTACAAGGAGTTGCCAAATAAAATCTCACATATATTCAATTACAAAGTTAATTATTGCACAATTATAACTTTATTAAAAATGGACCATGGGTGCTTTCCATCTCTCTTATATAAAATAGGACTGACAGATTCTCCACTGTATTCCTTTGATAACGAGCTCGTAGATCTCAGTCACATATTTTTCGACTGTAAGAGTTTTTGTAATAGTGACCTGTGGGGTGCTTTCATAAAAGCAGGCATTCAGTTTCCAACGTGTGTTAAGAGGTTGCTTGCGACTGGAGATCGATCAGTTTACGATTTTCAATTTGTGTGTGGGTGAAAGACTAACGTCCATTGCCAATAAACGAATAAAAAAAAATAAAGCGATTTTTAGAGATTCTAATATCAGTAAATAACGAACACTATATTTACCTCTATAGCATTACAATTTGAATAGACAAAATAAAATAGTAACAGAAATTTTGTAAATTTAATATGTTGAAGTAAAATGGACACTGTAACTACATTGATGGTACAATGGTCATCAGAGGCCGCTAGTATTTTACCAATTAAAATAAGTAGATAATTTCAAAATAACGCTTTATTTTGTCAAACTAAAAATGCAACTGAAATATATTTTCTCAAAAAAAAAAAACTTAAAACTTATTCACTAGAACATTTCCGAAATTTAAAATAATTTGTTGTTAGTCTTGATGTCCCTTCCAAAATTGGTGAGTAGCAATTTTTAACATGCCTTAGTGTAGTACGTGGAATATCGTATTTGGTAGCCGCGGCTTTAACCGATAATCCACCCTTTACTACATCACGAATTTCACATGGTTACAGATGAAGTTTTTCCTATCTCAACCTTTGAAATCTTTCTACGTGGCATTTTTTCAAACACTATCTGAAATAAGTAAATATTTTTCTAATTTAAGTACAGTGCCCATTCCTTCTTTATAAATTAAAGTAGTAACCACTGTACCTTCATTTATTATAGCCACTGTACCACCAACTACATGCTTATTAAAAAACTCAGGCAACAACGACCTTAATTAGTATTCAGTTATTTTTGTTGTTGCTAAATTTCTCGAACATTTTACAATTTGATTCTGCATTATGTCTCATCAAATTGATATTAAAATATTCTCGAGATTTAGATTTAACAAAAATAGCTGAGTATTATCAAGATCTTGGTATATTACCCTCGACTATCTTATGCAATTAAGAAAATAATATACTAGTAAATATTTATATGTACTAGATATAAACTGTCAATGCTAGTTTACTTAATGGTTTGTATATTTAGTCATTACAACAAATTTCACGTACTGGTTGTTTGTTACTATTTACACTTAATTTTAGGTTGTTTATTTTAAAATAAATACGTTAACATTCAAACAAGAAACTTTATTAAAATACCCTTTGCATATTAGTACATTCTCCACTAGATGACATATGCTCTTTATAAATAACACTGTTCTAGACTCTCTTCTACTTGGAATTTTGATTCTAATTTTTTTTAGACTACCTCGCCTCCTGATTAAGCACAACCATTTCACCCAAAAAACACTTTAAGGTTTTGAGAAATTGTTACATCATCCATACATGTAAACATTAATTACGGACCTGAAATCATAATTTATTAATGCCCAACATCTTTGGACTTAGGACCGACAGTTTTACATGATTCTTGAAAGACTGCATATTTTTGACTGTAACACTTATTTGAAACTTTAGTAAAATACTTTATAGGTTACATGGTTGTATTTAGTATAAACAATTATTGTAATAAAAATTCCAGCTCTGTATTTAAAATAATCGAATTCAGGGTGGTTCCACAAAACGAGCCGTTCTGTTATCAATTTGAATTTGATATGCCACTTCCCGCGTAGAGAACAGGATCATTTTATCCGCTCTAGAAAAGGCAACCATACAGACAAAAGTTACACGGGGCTGTTCACAAGGAGGAATACTGTATCCAATTCTGTGGTCAGTTCTAGTGGACAACCTACTCAAAACATTGTCTAAAGAAGGCTATCAGTGCCTAGGATATGAAAACGACCTAGCAATTATCGCCAGGAGGCGATTTTCAGGTACAGTCTCGGAGCGATCTTAAACAGCTCTAAACATAGTGAACAACTGGTGCAAAAAGGAGTAATTTTTTATTAACGCACAAAAAACAACAGTTGTGCCATTCTCAAAAAAGGGCACTTTCAGGACTAAGACCACTAGTACTAAATAACATGGTTATTTCATTTATCACAGAAGCCAAATACCTCGGAGTTATATTCGACCAAAGGCTGACTTGGAATCAACATCTCAAAAAACTCATAGTAAGCTACAATAGCTCTCGTAAGCTGTAGAAGAATATGTGGGAAAAACTGAGGTTTAAGCCCCATATGACCATATGATTATACACAAGGGTGATAAGACCCATGATAACCTATGGCGCAGTGTGTGGGTAACTCACCGGCATTCAGCGGCTCGCCTGTCTGTGTGCCTCTGGGGTCATGAGTACTACGCCAACTGCAGTAGTGGAGATACTGTTAGACCTCACGCCACTGCATATCTTCATACAAGGAGAAACCAGGTCCGTTATTCAAAGGCTAATGCAGAGACAAAACCGAATAAGCCAACTACTTAGCACGACCATATGAGGCTAAATCGTCAAGTAAAAGAGGATAAGATTCTAGAAATGCCTACTGATATAGCCATAACCATATACTTTCAAATTCAAATACCAGCCCGAGAATCCTGGAAACGGGGACCTCCCATACAGTCTGAATTCGTCTGGTATACAGATGGTTCAAAAACCAAGGAAGGAACCGGTGCTGGAATCTTTGGACCCAAATCGAAAACAACGATTTCGTTGAGTTTAGGAGAATCTGCAACAGTGTTCCAGGCTGAACTAATACCCATAGAACACTGTGCAGGAGAAATAATAAATCGGCAAGTCAACATACTCTACAAAATGGAGTCCCACAATAGATCTGATAAAGTCGCAGTGGGACAAGCAAAAAAATAATGTCCAACTCCTTTCAAATCTAATACCAGAAATGACTTCGAAATGCCAAGTAATTCCATCGTAAAGCCAAGTAATTCCATCGTAAAATCAAGTAATACCGCATAAAATGTTCATGTATTATCAACAGTGAAAGACCCATTATAAATGCCATTATAAGAAAATGATATTGGAAATTAAAATAATCCTAATTCAACATTATAAACAGAGGGGGAGGCAGACATAACTTTACATAAACCATTTAAATGTAAATACCATTTCTTAGGTAATGCAGTGCAAAGTTTTTCATTATGAGTATATTAAATTCAAAGGGTTGGTCCATTTTCCGATTCACACTTGTAAAGTGAAAAACCATTTGTCTCTTTATCTTCTATATCCAACGTTTATTGTGCGTTTCTATAATTATGTCAAGTACCTAGTTACCTTATCAGAATAATCCAATTTTTCCTTTCAGCGGGTTTTGTGAGTAACACAAATTCACAAATTTTTTGCTTACTTCTTACTTCATAGTATTTACAGTTGGGTACAAAATACATGACCATTTTGAAGTAGTCTTAGAATGGTCTTAGACACTAAAACAAAATGTAAAACAAATTAGAGTTATGAAACTAATTTAAGGCAAATAAAACAACATACCCTCAAAAATACTTTTATTTACCTTGTCTTAAAGAAGTTTTTCGGGAACTATCGTTGAATTGACACAGATACTTTCAATTTATTAAAGTCGTAGTTCTTAATTAAACACATTTTTTTAAATGAGAACAATTAAAATAGTCTTATTTTTTATTTAGATTGTTTCATAGAGGAATAATAGTTTGTTTGGTTTGGAACAGTGTTGCCAGAATATGTTATTGTTATGTACCAGATTTGTCTAAAAAATGTACCAGATTTTTCGAATTCTATTTGCAGTGACGTCTAATTCATTGAGAAGCAAAAAAGGGGGTCTTTATAGGAAACGAATACAAACAAGGAACACAATATATATTTTACACGTGAACACTGCTGCACGCAGGAAAAAAAGTACTAGGTTTTGCTTCGAGTGTACTAGAGTACCAGATTCTTCGAGAATGTACTACATCTAGTACAATTGTCAATTGTACTAGACTGGCAACACTGGTTTGGCAAGGTTCGTATGCCCTGCACTATTTTGTGACTTCATAACTTGTTTGTGAGCGGCGCGCAAATTTTTTGTGAAGTTTCACGGATCTGTTGGCGTGTTGACATCTCTTTTTAGCTACATGCATTCGCAAAATTCTTTCGCTCGTCTAGGCTTACTCATCATAGTGCGCCACAGACAGTATACTTAGGTATACTGTGTCATAGAGACTCAATCAGCCAGAGCGCAATGGTGTACCAAAAAAATAGAGATTAACACGTATGATAATAAAAATATTAAAATTATTAAATTAAATTTTAAAATAATGTGTTTTTATGAAATATAACTGGGTGTTCACTGCATAAATCAACCAATGAAGGAACCGCCCCTGATCAGAAGTAGGGGTTTGCTATTTACACTTTTTTAGTTGGGGTAGGTGGGGCCTAGGGGGTTGATGGGGGTGAGTTCTTTGTTAATTTAGTTCCCCCTTCCTATCCTAGAAACGATTTAAAGCATTTTTTGATATCATCTTTCGTTTGTGAGATATAGCCCATTGTAAGTTTTTAAATTGTCACACGGTATAAGTGAGCTACTTTCTGTTATACTAGAGTCATTTACCACTGTGTATGCAGATCAGTGGCGTCGCCAGCCATTTTTCATGGGAGGGGTTTTTGAGAACTATGGGGGGGGGGGGGTTCCATCAAGAAAGTGAATAAAAAACAAACAGTCAATTGCCATCAGCGGAAATGGTGACACGGTGACCCTCCATGGGAGGGGGGGTTCCGACCCCCAAAACCCCCGTGGCTACGCCACTGATGCAGATTATTCAACTTTACTGTGTAGTGCTCTAAATATTGATTAAAATATATCCACAATAGATCTGAAAACGGTTGAGCTACACTCATATTGTCATTAAACCTAATCTAATCCCTGATATTTCGGAATTCTAGTTTTCAAATTTTCCTAAAAGTAAAATAAGTAACTATGAGTATCATGCATTTTTGCACCATGTTTACTATTAAATATTTATAACAGAGAAGATGGCTTCACTAAAAATATGTACCTTCGCGCTATATTTTGTATTCATTTAAAAAAAATGTAACAAAATATAGGATCAGCCATTTCTAAATAATGATAACCACGTCCTTGTTATCCATCTAACAAGTACAAAAAGGAGATTGTTAAGATAGCAAGATTAATGTATAATTGACATATCATATTATTTAAAATACAGTATTCTGCAAATCTTGCTGATAACAATATCTTTTGAAATTAGTTCTATAGAAATATTGCTATTGCAAACAGACCTGAATATCTAGTATTAAAGTGACCATCGATCTTTAAAAATTCTACTAAATGAAATTGTACTTAAATTGTAAAATGGCATCGGGTAAATAATTCGAAAGAATCAAGCCAAACTAAAGAAGAAGAACTGTGCAAGTGAATTCATTTTTTAACGTCCTCTGATTCTATGTTGTCGTTCATATTGTTCCTATTAAAAATTGAATTTGTCCTGTTTGTATCCTTCTCTCTACTCTGGTATCTTTAAGAAAAAAACTTTATTCTTTATTAACAGATTGAGTCTATTTTTCTTACCTTTTTACAGGATGAGCCGTTTGATGTTGGTGCCACCCCACGATATACAAACATGTTTGAAATGCAGATGCTTCAAACAAATCTCAAGCAACGCGATGGGGAACTTCAACAGCTCCAATGGGAACTACACAGACGAGAACAAGAGCGATCTTTACTAAATAACGAAATATCAGCATTACTTACAAGAGTGGAAGATTTGGAGAGCAAAGTTACAGACTATGACAGCTTGAAAGTGAAATTCACGGATGTAGAACAGCAATACGAAACTTTGTGTCAGTTGTATGGGGAAAAAGTTGAACAAAATGAAGAATTGAAATTGGACCTTGAAGACGTAAAAGATATGTATAAGAGTCAGATTGATGAATTATTGAGGCAACAAAAACAGAATGCTTTAAGTAAATAAGTAGTAAGGGTGCCACTGCAATGAATATTTTAAATGACTATGAGGAAGATGTGCAAATACTTATACACTGAAATGTAAAGTACGGAGATATCAAATTTTGTTTTCATTTATTTTCAAGAAAATCGTAAGTAGCGTCTTAATACAATATTGTTTTGAACGGTAATTGGAGCCTACTAGAGTTACTTTTATTTATTTTATGTTACTATAACATTATTACCTTTTTTCTATTTGTTTGAAATAAAGAGAAAATAACACTTAAAAAAAATTGGGCCCATTTCAAACTGTGTTCCATACTTTCGGTATCCAATAGCTTAGTAACTGCCTTCTGCTGACTATAGAAACTAAAATTACTTTTTAATCCATTAAGGTCCATAGAATTCGAATAGTTTTATAGAAAGCATTCATTATTTTTGAAATTATTTTGAAATAATTATAAATATTTTTTCATTGGGGGCACTCCTTAATGCGTTTGCAATTAATGAAAAAATAAATCTAAAAATATTTTTGATATTGAATAACTATAAATGGTTCCGCCTGAAATTAGTACAAATTTTGATTTCCATTTTTTAAACATTTTACAATATGTTTTGTCTTTAAAATGAATTCATCACTTGCACATTTTCTCCCATGCAGATCCAATTCCAAATTACAAAATAAAAAAAAAAACGTTAGGGGCCAAATCGGGTCTGTAATGTGGTGATTTAGTTTATTGTTGAATAATGGCCTTCCCAGTAACTGCAGTGTGCAATGGTGTATGATCTCGTTTTGAGATTGGGTCACTCGATTTTATTGGTCAGGACATCATTTTTGTTTAAGCAGGAGATGTCGTCTTCCGTCACAATTGTATTAATCATATATCATATACTTTTCTGGCCTATTACAAAGTGCTAAATATTCATATGTTTATATATTTGCTTTATTTATTCAGAATATGGTTCACTTGCCTTGTAGGCTATAAACATCGAGATATAATAAAGTAGAGACGACATAAACACTATTTTGCGATATGACAGATGGACGCACTTCAAGTGACGGAAAAGTGTAATGAAAATGGCGACTTGAGTCGTACTTTGATTTATTTGAAGTCAATAATTTTATATTTGAAAACCGACGCAATGAAAATGATTTTATATCATTTAAATGAAGCTATTTAAATAAAAATGGCATTTATTCTCACCAAAACCAACTAGCTACACTATCTCGAGTTTGACATTGACGTAAAAGTGTAATGCAAAGATGCGGGCAATTTAGCATCATCATAGCAGCTCCTATTTATTCTATCTCAATGGGTATAAAGCACTGTATTATGACCTACATATATTTTATGGTTATTATAATAAATATCTGATGTGTCCAGCACATGGCTTTCCTGTAAAGTTATCAAGTGTTTAGAATGTGATGAACATTTTCCCCAAACATTTTATTGGAAACGTTTTTTCATAACTTCATTGTCAACGAAAATAAAGAAAAAATTAAAAATTTTAATTTTTCCTCAAATTTCCCCGTTACGGTTCATTTTAGAGAAATGTATAGAACAAAAATTATAGAGAATGACGCAAACAACTCTTATTCAAATAATTTTCTTCTCTAATCATAAAAGAAATATACCTTAAAATAGGAAAACGACCCCATATAAAGTACCCGCCCAGGTGCTTAGGCAATGGCCAAAATATAATCAGTTCATCGCCAGATGTATTGAAGCGTAAAATTGTGAAAATGGTCATAACGCAAAGAAGTCGAAAAAACCATGAAACTTTTCTTATTGTACACATGGAAGTCAAAATCATAAAAATGGTAGGTATTTAAAAAATATTTTTTTGGCCTATTCACTTTCATTATGATAATTGATATTGTGTGTGCTTGCCAAAATGTTAGTTTTCAAATTTACAAAAATCGCAATGCTGCACCATTTGTAGTTATTTGATATCAAAAATATTTTTGATTTTTTTTTTATTTGGAATTACAAAATTGAAAGTTTAAAACGATGGGACACCGAATAAACATCCTGGTTAATTTCCATAACTTTTGCATTGCTTTTTGAAATAGTAAATATCTTTTTGTTCATGCCGATTGTATAAAACTTTTTTTTATATGCAGACATTTTTAATTTATATAAGTTTGAAATTGTGAACACTTTTTGATTCGTTTGGTTACATAAAATGGGATTGTTAATTATTGTTACATTTGATGTTTAGTAGTGATTTAAAGTTTAAGCAAGGCAGCGAAAAAAGTTGTTTTGTTATAAATATTCCTCTAAATATTTTTTATATTTTGTAATACATGACTTTTTCCGAAGTAACTATTACAGTTAAAATTATTAAACTTCAATTCTGGTAAATTTTCAAGTGATAGAATATTATTTTAAATTAACAAAGTGTTGATTTTTCTGATTTACGAGAGCTCAAAAGAAAAGTAACAAAAGTGACATAACTCAATTTAAAAAATGATAAAATTATGATTATTAAATATATACTGTAATATTTAATTGATATTTTACCACAAACTATTGAATTTTATGTACTACTCTTTATTCCAAAACAACACAAAAATCATTATACCACTTTGGACTATACAGATATGGCCACTGCTTTACTGATCATAGGGAAATTTCTCAACTTTCTCATACACTAGTCTATAATAATAACGTACCTAACAAATCCACCTCTACTTGTTTACATACATCAACCGCTACCTTCACGGAACAACATTTCGACTATAAAAGAAGGAGGTTCTCAATTTGTTGGAATTATTTTAAGCTATTGCATAGCTTTTATCGCGGGCTTTGAGTGGCGACCGAATCAAGAAATTTCGTAACTCCGTAACGAAAAAAACCTAACACCCCCACTCCGACCGGCGCAGCGGTACGGCGTTATAGCCATGGAAGGTTTTATCCGACCCTATTCGTATTTGTATGAAGCGGAGTTAAATATACGTCTGCGGACTGGAACGTTTATGCAATACAAGAACTAGAAGTTAAGTAATAATGATACTTTTATAGTTTTTAAATCATATATTTATGTGATTCCATTAAATTACAATGTAGGTATCATTTGACATGATAAAATTTTGTTTCCAATTTATTTTTGTTTAATTAAACATTAATAATTTGTAAATATTTGTAATCAAATGTTGTATATTAGTATAAACGATTCCAAACTTATATCAAAATGTGCTCGGTGGCGCAGAGCGTACAGTGGTCGAAATTTGGATAGTGTGGATAGCAAATGGAAAAATATTGTTTTATTATTTCACAGTCTTGGTAATTTAAAATGTTTAGTTTTTAAAAAGTATATACTTATTCAATGCATAGTGGCGCATAACGAGGTTCATTCAAGTTCAGCTAATTTTAAAAATGCAAGCTACCAGTGGAGACTTCGTTTATTTAAATTCAAAAAGATAAACAAATAGGAAATATTTTTTTTTTTTCAATAAGTACAACAATATTAACTTCTGATTTATTCAATAAAAGAAAAAAATTTGTTTTCTTATCGGTCACCACGCTCAAAAAGTGTAACTTGAATTAATATCAAAGAAAAAAATATTGCATAAATAAAATAAATAAATAATTATAATTGCATAAGTTGATAAAAAATGCTATGCAATAGCTTTACCGCGTCAGTCCCCGAGTGCCACACGTATTTTTTTTTATTTATGTTCAGCAATAATTATTTACCATGCTGTCCGATTTCTATGATTCTTTTTTTGTTAGAAAGGGGTACCTTAGGGGGGGTGGTCCCATATCAATTTGGTCAAAATTTTTATTTATATAATCAAACCGTGTTATTTCAATAAATTTTGTCTAAAATTTAATTTTTGGTGGAGGCGCTCATCGAATTCCCAATCCAATAAGTTTATTAGATAAACAAATATAAGTATTTGTTCTTTGTTCCAAGTAATTATTTAAAATCACTACCAAACATCAGCAATGACTTGTTTACAACACCCTTCAAAATAGCGGTCTATTTTAGAAATAATTATCATTCATCATTCTGCTTTAGTCCCATTTTTATCACATTTAGAAAATCATTTTGAGACGTAAGCACAATGAGCTTTTAATCCGTATCTGTTTTATATATTTTTAAATAAGTTATCTTGTTATATAGTAATGATTTACTTAAAATTTTTGAATAGGTAATAAGGTTTATTAAGCTGTGATATGTGAAATTTTGATATACATGTAATCGGTTACATTTATTTATAAACAAACATTTTAAAACTAGATTATGTTGTTAAAATAAAGAATATATATGTAAAAAATAGTTTTATTTAATTTTAAGTGACGTTAAATAAAAAATTAACACAGATAAAAACACACCCAAAATATTAAAAACCACAAAAATCATAGCACAAACCATTTAGGAACAATGGAAAAGGTTGTGATCACAAGAATATCAGAAAAAGTTGAATCAATTATCAAAAAGCGGGTTTTTTGTCCCTCAGTTCATTTTAGAAAAATGCTGCAGCTGCTATTATATTAAAGATTGTGCCTATCCTTAAAGTTAGTGATCTGCGCATGCTCAGATGTCAAAATAAGAGCGGCACTAATAGTGACTGACGTTAAGTGAACTTGCAATAACTCTCTAATATTATACTTACAACAAAGATATTAGAGAGTTATTGCAAATTTCTATAACGTCAGTCACTAATAGTGACAACGTAATTAGAGGCAAATAAATTCCATGCTAAAATAAGACTGACTTATTGCGAACCTGAAATTTTGACATCAGAGTCCTTGTCCTTATACATATTTCTAACTTCATTTTTAAAATTTTAAATTACGGTTCATCTTTTTTGTTGTTTACAATAGTACATAATATGGAAGAGGCATTAGAAATTACCAATTTAGAAGGTTTAGATGACGATGATATTAAATTTTTAATATTAAAAAACTTCGAACTGATACGAATGTTGGCGAGCGCACCCGAAAACTATTAAGTCGCCACTAACTGCTGTCCTTAAACATCCACAATTAAGGACAGGCACAATCTTTATTAGAGAGTTATTACAAATTTCTATAACGTCAGCCACTAATAGTGACAACGTAGAGACAAATAAATTCCAAGCTAAAATAAGACTTCTTGCAAACCTGAAATTTTGACATTAGAGTCCTTGTCCTTATACATATTTCTAACCTCATTTTAAGAATTTTAAATTACAGTTCATCTTTATTTGTTTTGTCCCGAAGGACATTGCCCATAAAAGGAACAGAAGAAGAATCTTTTTTGTTGTTTATAATAATATGGAAGAGGCATTAGAAATTGCTATTTTAGAAGGTTTAGATGATGGTGATATTAAATATTTAATAATAAAAAACTTTCAACTGATACGAATGTTGGCGAGGGCACCCGAAAACTATAAAGTTGCCACTAACTGCTGTCCTTAAACATCCACAATTAAGGACAGGCACAATCTTTATTAAAGTCAGATCTAAAATGTAAGTGATCTGCGCATGCTCAGTTATCAAAATAAGAGCGGCACTAATAGTGACTGACTTTAAGTGCACTTGCAATAACTCTAAGTCAGTTCTAGAATGTAAGGATCTGCACATGCTCAGTTGTCAAAATAAGAGCGGCACTAATAGTAACTGACCTTAAGTGAATTTGCAATAACTAATAAGGTAAACAAAAAATTGGGTCATTCAACAAACATCTCAAAGATCTATTATATCCAATGTGAACACACATCAATCAAATCTAAATTGGAGAAACTTACCGATTCTGTCAACATCTTCGGCACAAAGTCGGTCATCAGATTGGCATTAAAGAAACTTACCAAATATTTAACTAACTTCTTGTTCATGTGTTTATGAAAGAACAATAAACATTTTTTTTATTATTATTATTAATATTATTATTTAGGATTTTATATGACCATGTTATTTATACGTAGGGATTTCTCTATTGTAGTTTCAATGGGCTCTGACCCCTACAGTAAATAAATTAAGTAGTCACAGAATGTATAGGATATTAAACACACATTTTGCTTCAATGTTTATTCAAAATAAGAATGATACCAAAAAGTATAGACAATTTGACACTTTCTTTAAAATTTCAAATTATAAAAAATAATAAACATTTACAATTATTATTATGGTCTGTAATGAGTAGAATTACTCAGATGATAATGTGGATAAAATAAACTGACTATTGTAAAATGTTCATCACATTTCTAAAATCAATCTACTAAAAACAAAAATAGCCTAATATTAATTATACCTTATTTAGTATACTACTCTAACATCCAGTTCCAGAAAAAAACTTAACTCCAGTTTTCACTATTACAAAACAAGATTGGTAATAAAGGTTTTCAATTTATTTCTGAAACCGGAATAACATCTACAAAAACAACCTGCAAATGATTCATTTGTTTAATTGATTACCATATAGTTAACATCTGGATGCACTGCTCTAGACAAACACCAGACACCAATGTAATACAAGTTTACTCGTAAGTTGCACAAAAGTAACACATTTTTTTGACTCAATCACACGAAATTTGTCATTAAATTATATTGCTAAAAATAAGGCTGGTATCTACTTTTTATGATTAAAATTCGTCGAGCATATTAAACCTAACAGAAAATAATTTCACATTAAATTAAAGCCTCTCGGTTTTGACGTTAATGACATTTTATATAGGAACTGTTCAGTAGTTAAAATTTTTCTGGAGAGAAGGCGGATTTGGTTACTTTCTAACATAGTAATTTGCGTTACAAGACCGGAAAGTAGTATTTTGCAGGTCGAGACAAGCAGATTCCAGGGCAAGCCGTAGGAGAGACTTGGAAGCTTGGAAAGACCTGCTTAACACTAGTTTTCGGTCGCGTGACATACAATATTTTTTTAAGACCGACACTTCGATGTAAACTCAATTATTTATTTTATTTAATAAAGTGATTAAATACTAAAACTAGATAATGGATCAGGCCGTAGATGGGCAACATCCGAACAAGATTATCGATTTTTTGGTCTCTTCATGTTTGAGAAATCGGCATTTAACTTTAGTTGAACTGACAAATCGTCTGAAGGAAGAGAGATCTGTGGATGTAAACAGATGAACAGTTCGTCGACGACTTGCTGAACATAATTTATTATCCATAAGACCAGCCCTATGTCTACTGCTATCCGTAGAACATCGCAGATCTCGACTTGTCTTTGCAAGAGAACACGAAAACTGGAATGGCGCTGATTGGACCAATGTATTATTCTCTGATGAGTACAGGTTTTATCTGAGATCACTAGACGGCCGCGAAAGAATTTATAGAAAACGAGGAGAGCAATATTCCCAATGCAATATTACAGAAAGTTATTGTGGATAGAGGTTTAATGATCAAATACATTATTTTCTATGTCAGATAATTCAAAATCTAAATCCATATTTTTAAATTTGGGAAAACAAGTTTGACATAAACAACAAATTAAAAATCAATGATCTGTCAAATCAAAGCAGACTGTATTATCAAACGGCGATCGGAAAAATAAAAAACAGGGACCGGTAAAGCTTTTATTTACAACCATATATGTAATGTTGTCATTACTAACGTTATTAAAGGTTGGGAAGTGTCACATTACACACCTCTACTTCCCGTCCTCACTTCCCGCCCTCATTTTATCTATTCTAGATGAATATATTTTATATTTAAAAAAAATAACACATTTTTTTGACAAATTTTATAATACCTATTTAATGGCAAACAATAAAAAACAACAATGAACTAAAATATAACAAATTACTTATTGATATTTATTATTCGCGAATTTAATATCCGGCTTTACCTGACATTTATTTATATTGGTGACAGTTGTTTACCCCGTAATCACAGTAACAATATATTTACCTACTTGATTATTCTGAGAAAACCGCGCGCTTGGTAATTTGTCGTTAAATGTAATATTTTAGGTATGTTCAGAACAAAACAGATTTATTAACTTTGATCGAAATATGATGGTTGTAAATAAAGTAGTATGGTCGGTCTTAAAAAAAATGTATTTTTTATGTTGTTCCTTTGACTATTCCATTGATAAAGGGTTTGAAGTGTTTGTAATTTAAGGTTTTAGAAATATGCAATAGAACAAGATGAATACTCAATGTACTTACCTGATTAAATATGTTCAACTTCATGTCAACAAAAATATTTTATTTTATTTTTCTCTTTTATTACAGCATTATTTTATTTTCTTTCCAATTAGACACTAAGTGAACGTCGCATGTATAAATCCATTATTTTGTCACTTCTTGAATAAAATTTGATTTGGTTTTAGTACTGAAATTAGGCTATAGATTATTCATCAATTAATTTGATCTTTCAGTTATTGCCTGATCTAAAACCGTAAGTCACAGATGCTTCAAACCATTCATTCTAATAGTAAAAAAATGGCTATCAGATAAAATTTATATTCATTTAAAAAACTACCGACTGCCTCTTGTTTCCAAAAATATATCAGCTATTGAAAATTATTAATTATTCGATGGTACAGAAAATCTTCAAAAAAATGTATATTAAAGAGTGTACTGGTTTTTTAGCCGTAAATTCATTAACAGCGAAAATAAATCTTTGATAAAATACAAAATTCTCTAACAAGACGTATTAGAATCGTACGATAAAGTGTCTACAATAAGTTCAAAACCAGTGCCTTTAACTCATTTCGTCAAAAAATTTTAATACGTGGTATTAGAATGCAGATAACGATATAACATTTTTTCCCGAGTCACCTTTTTTCCCAATAACAACATTAAATTTATATAAATAATATTGAACATTTTTTTGTAAAAATTCAGTTATTTTTTTCCTTAAATGTGTGTAAAATACCTAAGTACTTTTTTCCGTTTTTTTTGGTATATGTTTATAATAATTTTTTACTATAAATATCAAACTGTATTCATATGTGAAAGGGTTATACCCTACTACTTTCAAGAACATCTATTGAGAGTACGTTAATTCCGAATTCAGTACAGTAATTTTGTAAATTCCTGTTTTTTTAAGCAAATTTGCGTAATAATTATTCCAATTTCAAGAGATTCCCAGATATGTCACAACTATTTTTCAGTCTAAACTAAAATAAATGTAGTAAAAAAACTGGTAATAGAATTCATTTGCTTTAACAGGCAACAGCGCCCCGCCCACTGCCGTTGGAATGGTGGACACCACCGTTGTTCCACCAACAGCAAAACAAAGTAATAGGCGTGCATTTGTTTATTTTTGTTAAAATATTGTTTTGGCTTTTCCACTGTACTTGAGCGTACAATAAATATAATACATAAACTTTGTATGTTTTTCTGTAGTTGGGCATGTCGTCTAAAAGTTGATGACGTGCCTGGCCTGTTCTTAAAGCAAACGAAGTCTAAATAATGTATATGACGTTTTGTCACGTGTTACTGTCTGGATTTTTATTTCTGAACATATATTTAGATTTGTAGTTGATATATCATCGTTGATACTGCAAGACGCGTTTCGTCAAATCACTTTATTGTTTGTAAGTATGCAACCAACTGTGCGCCATGCATTGTATTGTCAGTATTCCATACCAAAAATGTATTTATAATATTTAGCAATTATGATCTATGTAGGAATTATTATGTAGTACCTATTAGCATTTTAGAGTCGCCCGTGAATAGTATACTTGCGTGCATAGAAATCAGCCCACTGTAAACTTTTGACTTTTAACTGTATTTTTTTTTTAATTATTAAACAGCATTACTCTTATTAATTAATAATTAGACAAGATTAAAGCAAATTAAATTGTCTTTCAAACAGAATATTTTTTGATCTGATGAATAATTTAAAAAAAAAATATAGTTAAAGTCAAAAGTTTACGGTGGGCCGATTTCTATGCACGCAAGTGCATATTCTGTAACAAGGTTGGGATGAACATTCGATACTAGTGGAAGATTATCGGATTTTCATTCCAACAGAGTAACAGACTGTACTTTCTCCACGGCCAAGAACACAGTAGGAGTTGAAAATAGTAAAATGAAACTTTGAACAAAATGAAATATGTAATCTAACTTATGTTAGGTAAGTTTTTATATAAATTATTTGTCAGTTCAGGAGGAATATTATTAAATTCCATTTAAGAATCATTATATTCAGCAATTTTTGAATTTAAGTTCGCTATCTTTATTCAGGCAAATTCAAAACAAATACTAATATGTCGCTTAGAACTGTCAGTCATGAAATTCATGACTATCTACGATTCGGAAGTGGTATTCACAGCCATTGGCTAGTAGCTATTACATAATGAACCTGCTGTCTCTAGAGTTAGAATGAAATACATATAAAAAAACATAAAAAGCAAGTGTTTCAGAATGTCCTTTCAATATCAAGAGCGGGAATGTTTTCTTTCTGTTATTATAATTGGTTTCGGAAGAACTACATTCAGTAGTGGCCGTGGAGAAATTAAATTTTCGTGACATCTCGTATTGTAGTATCAACGACGATATCACATTTGGCTGTTTACTATTAGTAACCATATAATGATGCAATAAATCCTATACAGGGTGTTCTATTATGAATGGGACATAGAACAACTGAAGATTCTCTGATTAAAACTAAGACGATTAAACAAAACATTCTTAGGTAAAATATTACTAGTTTCCGAAATACGGGGAAAATTCAAAAATTATTAATGGCTACAATTTTTTTATTATTCACGTTTTTAGTTTCATAAGATATACCTATCACCAAAAAAATCAGTTAAATAAACTTTTCCAGTGTCTTGCGGCATGGGTACGTAACTCTTTCATCCCTTCTAAATTTTACGCCTCTGTCCAAAAACTTAATTGGACTATAATTATAAATCTTTTAATGTTTTTCAAATTTATAATGTAGGTACTCATATATTAGAAATAAAAAAAAAAATCAAAATAAAGAGTGTGAATATCTCGAAAATCACTTTATAAGTTTCCAACAAGAATATTTTATTTAAAAATCATCAAAAAAATTTAAATTATAGTCTAAAATTTTTGGACAGTTATCTATGCCGTACGCCACCGGCAAAGTATATTTAACTGATTTTGTTGAAGATAGGTGTATCTTATAACACCAAAAACGTTCCATAATTTAGAAAAATTGTACTGAGTATTGAATTTTTGAATTTTCAACTTTAACGGCCTATATTTAGGAAAAGAGTAACATTTTACCTAAGCGTTTCGTATAATCGTCTTATTTTTAATCAGAGAATCTTCAGTTATTCTATTTCCCATTCTTAATGGGACACTATGTTGCTTTTGTTATAGATTTATGAATGCTGATCTACAAACTCCATAACTTAATAATATTCTATTTATTGTCTTTTAACTGCTTTATTTTAGACACATTTTAAGATTATCACTAAAAATGAAATAATGCAGCAAACAAAACTTTTTGACATAATTTCTTTATGTATTTTACTGTATGATATATAAATAATGGTCTTTTTATAGATCTCTTGAATAGCTAGGTGACAAGGAATTAAATTTTTAACAATATTATTTTCTACATAGTCTTTCGATTGAAAACAAAATTTAAAAAAAGCTGTCAATACATATCATGTGATTGTGAACTTTCTGTGATATTTGAGCCACAAAATATTAATTAGAATGGTGTAACTACGAGTTATCTCCTAAAGTTTTTTTGTGAGAATAAACATTTACTACTTAAATTCACCTTTTTTTAAAACATTTATTTATATTATTGTATTTTACAATAAACACATGTGATATTAATATCTATTTATGGTTACATTTTCGTTTTTCATTTTTTTTTATTTTTTTTTTTTGACATTCACAATTTTGAAAATTGTCAATTCTGTAACAAATTTCTTTTAATCCATAGTATTTGAAGAGAAACATTAAAATGGTATATAAACATGTTCTAACCAGAATGTATGAAGTAACATTTAGATAAATTGTTACCCAACTGACCCTTATAAAAGTTATTTAACTGAATAAATAAGTCAATCAAATGTCATGTTTCTATAAAGACAAAAATAGTTTAATGATAAATCAGCCAAAAGTTTCCTGCTTTTAGCGGTACCAAGTATGAAACCAAACATTTGATATTCTGCAGTTGTTTTTTTGTGAAAATTATTCCGTATAATTAGTGGAGCAATAACTTTCGTAAGTTAAGGAGTATAATTTGTGCAGACTTAAATTAACAGTTAAATTTATGCGAAATACGTAACATTTTGCTACTGCCAATCAGATGGTGTTCAATAAAGATTTTTTTTACTAACATGTTCCCTTGCATAAGAGAAAAGAATGACATAATGTGAAAAAAAAAATAAATTCTATATACCAACTACTAGAATTGGTGCATCTTGAACGTACCAAAAATTAAAGTGACAGGTGACAAATGGCATAAAATAAACTTTGAAAAAAAAAACAAGTTTTATTTGAAAAAGAAACAAAAACAGAAATTAATGAAAAGATGAAAATAAGTAATAAACCAAATGAAGAATTGTAAAGGCATAGTTACATCGCCACTTTTAAATAAACTTCATACTTATACTTGTTCCGTCACCTTGACAGATGTATTTTTATTTTTTTTTTTGCCAACTCTGACAATACCTTGGATAACAAAATAAAAAGCAGCATTTATTTAAAGACTTTGCTATGTTTGCAAACAGCAAAGTTTTACTGGTGTTGCAAAGTCCATTTTATTTTGAATTTTAAATTTCTTTCAGTAGATTGATGACACCGCGACCTCTTGCAAGAACAATAAAACTAAGCGACTTGATCCGGTTAAGCAAGTATAATTAGATGGAGATGCTGCTTTTTCCACATTTATTTGCCGCAACTCGTGCGCGGAGCTCTACTAGTAGAACCGAAGGAGATCCAGGCGGCAGGTTTACTGCCTTGTCTGTTGCCGCTTTTCACACCCATGGAGTCCAGCCCTCGTATAGTAAAGCAAGATTATCCAAATTGGTTGCCTCGTGGATTACGTATTCCACCTAAAAAAATGCAACAATTCTAACTTTGAAAAAATCACTGGACGAATTAAAGTTTTTGATAGGAAAATATACCAAGGAAATGAGAACGAAGTATGGAGAATATGAAGCAATAATGACTTAATGGCACTATTTAATATGAACTTAAATTCATTACGTATAGTCAAAAACTCAGAAGATTAGTTACAAATATGTACAAAAAGAAAAATACACATAAGACAACAAGTAATATAATAAAATCACAAAGACTAACATACACAATACTAAAAATGTTCCATAGGACGAAATTATTCTTAAAACTCTTTTTTGTAATAAAAACACTTTTCCTGCTTGACATGAATTACCCCAAGCCAGGGTAGCATAAGCCATTTTCCTATTTAACTATTTTGTATGCTGTTCTGAGATAATGTAAATCTAAATTGTTTTAGCTGCCTCTTGCATAAGTTGATTTAGGCTAAATTTAGTGTGATATCGATGTCAAAAGGCCACAGTAATTTGACAGGCTCCATATTAATCTGTTTAGTAGTTTTATTTTGAAATAAAATGTAATAATCTAATTGATGATTATTTGTATGGTATGAGTTTTAGATTCATTAAGCATGAGACGGCAACTGTTAGACCAATCTTTACTTTATATTAGTATTTATAGATATAAATGAGGTACAGTCTGTATCATTTAGTGAAATATTTTCATTAAGAGTCTGAAAAATGTATATTCTGAATAAAATATGACTCAAAACTGATGCGTAGGTCACACCATATATGACAGCTCGTGTAGCAGATATTCCGGATGTTTAACTTATTGCAACTAACAGGTAAGGTAAGATTCGAAGCAGGGTGATGGGATCCCTTTGACCGGCGCGGAAAGTCAATTAAATCGGCGACGCGCCCGTCCAGCAAAAAAATAAAAAAGTATTTATTGTTATTTTTGTGTTTAATAAATTAACCACAAATTATTTTACAATAACTGATAAATAAAAAACAAACCATTTTTTTACATAAAAAACAGTTAAAAAAAGAACCTGCAATAATTATTATTATATAACAAATAAACAGAAATAAAAAGGAACTCTTAATTTTGTTAACACAAATATCACATAAATACTCCCAATCTAATGGCGTTTTCCATTAGTTTATCGATATGGAAAAGCAAAAAGTACAGCAGGGGCAGAAGTTGGAAAGGCTTTTGGTAGGTAGAGAGGGGGTAAACGTCAAACCAAGTAGGACGGATTCGAGAATTTCGCGGTATTGTTTATCTGCCAGTGTCCTTTCATAGAACAAGTAATTTTAAATTGTTACTGGCGAAACCGGACAATAGCATGTATTTATGGACTAGAAATAATTATTAAACAAGTATTATAATATCCCAAATTATAATTTCAACAGATATTCACAATTTATTAAACTATTTTCCCAAAATTATTATTAACATTTGTAAAATAATTTTGTACGCCAATGTATCGCGTCTACTTCGGTTAGCTCCGCCGCAAACTCAATTTCTGTGTATAAAATGGGAGAACTGCTATAAGACTTCTGTCCCTGCTATAAGAATTCACTCAGATCGCACTGAACATTCCAATGGATAACATTTTAAAGTTTTGCAGTTAAAACAGTTTCTTTGAGAATGAAATATTGGTTCTTCCATAAACGGTCAATGACGTCGTCATTTTCTATTGTATTTAATATGTCGTCGGTTTTGACTGAGAGTACTCCTTAGCCTGTTTTTCAAGTATTTTAGTATGAAAAAATTTCTTTCGCAGGCTACTTCTGAAATTGAAATTGTCAGCAAAAATGTATATGCTACTGACAACTTTTTGTAAGCCTCTTTTTACATAGTATATGTACAAATGATGCAATAGCAGCACAGTGAGCAATTTCTGCAAATCTTGCATTGCATAATTGTTTTCTTTACCACCGTCCTTCTGTTGATTACTGGTTGATTCCTAAGTGATATTTTTGTACTCGGACAATCACGACTCCTGCCGAGCGACAATTCTAGTAGGTACACATTTCTGGAAGTACGTTCCATGTGCGTCGACTGTGGCGACGCGCTTGTCAACGAGCACGAATTGTAAATTTACTGGTAACGAAGATTTCCTTTATTTTCAATTTAGGCGGTAACATCAAAAAACTATTAGCAATGAAAATTTGTAACTTTGTACACAAACTCGAATTAGGTACAAAGTTACAAACTCATCAACTATAGATTTATATTTTGAAAAGGAAATGTTATTAAGCAGAAGGTATTAAGTAAACGTACATAAAGAACATATATAGTACTTATTTTTTCGTGTTAGGCATACGACTAGTATATAAGTTAATAAAATGACAACAGGGCAACAGCCAGACGTCGACTAGAATTAGAAGATATGGTGATGAGATATTAGGAGAGCCAAATGCCAGTCACAAAGCCAGAGAGCATAGCGGTAGCGGGGATATCGTAGTTGTCACATGTTTGCTGTGAAAGTACGGCTATGCCTTATACAAAATAATAAGTACTGTATATTTTATATTGCAACATTGTCTCATCGCCCGTTTTTTCTAGTCAATTATTCCTGCAGTCCTGGAACAATAAAAAAGGGGCAGAGACCAGAGTCAGACGAACGCTGAGTTACGATATACCTTATATCTCCATAACGGAAAATGCAACGCCACATAAAACATTACGTTTGGGTATGGGCGCTTCCGTCATGTTCCTATATTTATGACTTACATTAATGAGTAGATTAATAAATTCTGGCTTTTTCAGAAAAAACCGCGGCAGCGCCTATAGGAGCTACAGCCGTTGACTGTCGAAGACCAGTGCACCGGGAAATCTGCCGGTTTCCCGATGGGCCCATCCGCTCCTGAATCGAAAGGTCTTAGTGAGGAACATCTTGCACCGTAGCTTTTAACTTTTTTTTTTTTTTAGCAGTGTGTCATGATGTGCAGTGTCAAAGGCTAAAATCACAGAAGCCAGTAATACAAGTCTTCTGATTCTCCAGAGCTCCAAGCACATATCTATAGAATTTGCATATTGCTGTCACTGTAAATTTTCCAGCTCTATTATACCCAACTTGATTTGTATTGTGTAAGTTTTTTATATTTTCAATATTATGCTATCTTACTTTTTAAATCTGATAAATGTATGTACTTAGCACAATGATATATTTGATTCACTAAATCTTAATTTTCTCACTTTTACTGACGAGCTCTTAGCTACCAATCTGATCGTCTGCCATTTTGAACTATCATCTTTTTCAAAATAAATAAATAAAATAGAAGACAAAGGAATAATAATAATTATTGTTATTGTTTCGGCAATTTAAACCAACAACATATCTCCAGATATACTTTCAGAGTATCTTTTCATTTTTTAAACGAATAATATGCTGAGACCAAACGAAAAACTTCTAGACTAATCTATTCATTCATAATTAGGCCCTTTTTTATTGCAAATATTCAGATTGTGTTTATTATTACGCATCGGCTGCTACATTAGAAAGAAGGACACAGCTGCCAATTTGAGTGGGAATGGTTTGTGCGAGTATGTTTATTCGAGGAGCGAGAATGCGTTTTATGAATGAATCAGTATTTACGTCTACCACGCTTGCTTTACACTGCTGTCAAACCTCAAAATTAATTGAATACTTTCCTGAAAAATACTATACAATTACAATAGTTGCAACGAGAACAAATACATTAAACTGATAATAACTGGCATTAAGAATGCAAATATACTTCCCTAATGTAATTTTGATATCCTTTTGTACGCTTTAAAGCCTTATGTTTAATCAATACCGAATTATAACCATAAACAATCCTTGCAACAATACTCTCTCATAATAATTTGAAAACTACGTGAATGACACCGTGAATATTTTCAATTCGATTTTTCTAAAAAAAATTAGTCTAGTAGTTTTCGTCATTAGCTGGGTCCATTCCATCGGATGAAAAATAAATAACATCATAAAAGTTTTACAATCAGATGGAGTGCATAAGAAGAAAATGTAAAATAAGGAGAATAAGGACGGAAAAGTAATAATTTAGGAAAACGGGTGAAAATAGAAAAGAGTAGTCAAACAATGGTAAAAGGAGTAAAAATCGAATACTTCTTTCAAAATAAAATCAAGTAGGTTTGGTTATCCTTAGAGGACTTATTCACGAAGCGGTTTATTTCTGCAGTATAGAATTGCAAGGCTTTTGGTGTTCAACGTAAACAATCGCAGTTAGACAAAAGCGATACTTCAATCGATTCATATAGAAACCTGACGCTTTTAATATATTTACATGAATAAAAGAAATAAAAAATAAGCGATATTAAATATATAGAGTGGCCCAAAAATCTGGAAACGGCCAATTATCTCGTAAATTGCTAGTCCTAATTGTACAAAATTTGAGGTACACCGCTTGTACTGCAGCAGCGGTATAAACCGCTTCGTGAATAAGCGCCCTTAGGGAAACTGGTCATAAAAATGTTGTAAAGCCATATAAAACTATGAACAAAATACTGACCTGTTCTTGAACAGAGCTCTTTCTGCCTGGATCGGGATCCCTTCCTTCAAGCTTCATTTTCACTCTACGCCACACATTCACCGCATAAGCATTTCTCTGTTGTCCCTTCGTCGTGCTCTCCTGCTTCTGGTGAATCAATTTGTCGTTATTGTCATTCAAAGACTTCTGTCTAACAAGTTGCGCTCTCTTTTGAGCCGATTCTAAATTTAGTAAATTTTCATATAGAGATTCCGTATTATCTCGTATGTAGTCTAAATGATTTAATAGTGATTTGATTTCTTCTACGGTCAGCTCCTTTTTGAAATTGGAAAATAGAGATGAAAAATGATCGATGTATGATCTGTATTCCTGTATAAAGTACTGAGTAGGGATGCTGTAATCTTCGATTTTCGTCATGATTTTCATCAAACCTTTAACATCGGAGATCAATTTACCATGTATATTATAAATAGCCTTGAAATTGTCCATTAATGATGTTAAATTATCATTATCTGAGAAACTAGTTTCTCTACTATCTTTTAATTCTTTTTGAGCTTGTGTAATAGTGTCGGTAAGAGATTCAGATACTTTTTGTAACCACTTTGAATCTTTAAGTAATTCGGGGGTCAGCATTTTCAAGATACTTTCTTCTGATGGAAGTAGAGAATCTGTTCTCGAATCTGTGTATTGGCAAGCCAAGCGCCAAGTTTCAAATGCTTTCAAAAACATTTTGTCGTGATCCTTAGTGACCTCGGAAGTTCTTGATCTTAATAATTCGTGTTTTAAAACAGTGCTATACGATGAAAGAATATGGTTCGCGGTTTTTAATCCCAAATCCAGTTGAATATTTCTGTTTTCTACAGCGCCCTCAAAGGCTGCTGATATTTCTCCCACGTTCGGATTAGCGCCTTTGGCCCATTTCAGTCTTTGGTCAGCTTTTTCTATTAACTTTTCCTGGTTGTTCTTCGCTTCTACAAGCTGCCTGTAAATATTCTGTAAGTTGCCTATTTCGTTTTGGATATCAACTGTAAATTTTGCTCGTACAGATGAAAAACTTTGCAATTGTAAAATTTCGTCAAACATCATGTTATGTACTGCTAACTGACCCTGCAACCTGATTGTACTAGATTGAAGAACCGTGAGTTTTTGTTCAATTTTCTTAGGTTCCTGTATTTTTTCCCAAGCTAGTTTTAGGTTTGTTTCAAGACTGGATGCTTGTGAGAGTATGTTTTGAGAAAATGTGCCATCTTTGAGTAAGATGTTCCAAGCTTTTGTGTACAATTCGTCTAGCGGAACTTTACTTTCAGCACCAATATCTTTTTGTTCAATTTCATTGGTAACGTCTAATCCTAAATGTTGTAATAAGAAACATACTGCATATGTTACAATTTCGGGTAATATTCCTAACAATTTCCGTGAAATAAATTCGGCTATAAACTGTTTCACAGGTTTGGTTAATTGTTCGTCATTGAAAATAATGCCAGATCCAATGCCTTTTAGAGACTGACACATTTCTTGCACCAAAGTAAAAAATTCAACGATGGCTTTTAGTCTCTTTAAGAAAAATATATCTTCCAGAATTGATCGAACTTGGATGTTAAAAATATGTGGAGCTATATTTTTAGCTTCTTTAACATGATCTAGTCGCTTCCATGATTTTGGTATATCCAAATGACCCAAAGTGTTCGTTAAATTGACAATTTCTTGAGACAATTTTTCAAAAAGTCCATTAAAACCCATTAGCAACATCTTTCCTTGGCTCAGAGAATCGGATTGAGTGGGTATTAGGGCCAAAAAATTTTTTTTGATCATTGAAACTCTCTCCAAGATATACTCATAATTGCTCTGTAATAAAAATAATTATTTGTTATCTAAATCAAAATGTAGTTATTGTAAAAGAAATTAACTATTTTAAAAAAAAATATATATAAATTCTTAATTTCGTTTAAACACTGTATAACGTTTTAAATAAATATGTACTTCTCAAAATATTTAAATAACTTTTTAAATGCTTTTAACATGCTTTCTAAACTTATTTTAATCCAATAAATTTCTTTATAATTTGATGTAAACCGTCCAAGATCCAATCGAACAGTTGAATAGCAAATTATTCTTCGCGTACAACTTTTAAACTGTTAACTGGTTGACTAGTCATCTGACAGTTCTCAACGTATTTTTGAAGGACCCGAACAAACCTTTAACATCACAGTGACAAGATAAACTGAATCCAATAATCAACATTTGGGTTTATGCGCTGTCGATTATTATAAGAATTTTGATGGTCCATTAAAAATCCGTCGTTTGTGGAATCGCTTTGAAAAACCGATGGATATAAAAGACATATCAAACAAGGCAGTAAAAGAAAAACAACACGAATTAAGGTCGGATTTTTTGTTTATTTCTCCTTACGATGGTCGTTTACAACTAGACAAAAACAGACTGATTCCCTACCACAAAATGTTTCTTTTAAAATTTGCTCCATATTGCACGGGTACTTCTGATCCAATATTGAGATGCGTAATTTTCACATACGAGTTACGATATCGTCTTACTCTTTGCAATGGTCGAGCGCGTGTATAAGGACGTCCTAATTTGGTGGTAGTCTATTATGGTTGAGACGAAAGAATAGGATTTCTTTTCACGATTTGGTTCGAATTTGATGTCAAACTCCATAATACCCGTTCAGTCTAATAAACTTTATTGTAAAACTCAGCACCCCTGGAGTAGCCAATTCGATATCAAATCGTTAAGGTTGGCGTTCGCCCATAGAAACCTGCTGTATATACGCGGGAAAAATATACTTCCTGACATTAACTTTAATATTGAAAACCGTTGATGAAGTGTGCCTAGAGGCTGTAAAGACTTCTTAAAAAACGGAGTTGTTTTAAAGTACTCGAAATATGACTTTTGACTTTTGGTATCTAAACAACATATAATCGCATTGACTTATCTAAGAATTTTCTTTAAAACTAAACATATTTACATGTTGTCTTTCCGTTACAACCCGTACAACTAACACAGAAAAATAATGAAACTAACCACAATTCAAAATATTCTTTAGTTTTTTTGAAAGCTTGGTTTAAAATTAAACAGATTTTTTTTATGAAAACAATTATATTTTGTATATATCACGTGACATAAAAATGTTTTTAATTTTGTAACGATTTAAAAAAAAATGCGAAATTGTCCAGATAAACAGTTTTCGAGATAAGGTCAGACGTCGCCCTTAATAGTGAAGTTATTAATTTAATATTAAGTAGCGTAAAACGACAGTTATGAAACAAACAGTAGATCGACTCTCTGTCGACACCTTTGACCTTTTAAAGTGAGATTCTGAAAATTTACGTGTACTATTCGACTAACTCAAACACATATCTATGGAAAATTAGGGAAAATTTTGGGTCGAACGCTTTTCCGGAAAAAACATTGCTTAAAAGAGGAGATAGAGTAAAAAGAACTTAAGAATTACCCGGCTTGACGAGACGCGCCGAATGATGTATCATATGACATGGTTTTTATGACAGGGGGAGGGAAAATATTAAAAACCGTGAAAATATTTGGCTTTTTTTTTTAGAAATTTAAGGAAAATATAGAACACGTTTTAAAAAAATTTAACTTTCGGATGGTATCGCAAAATATAACATTTTTCTACGGTAAAGTACTTTTTCACCCTGATTTATGAGAGGGGGAGAAGTAAATAAAAAAAACGCAAAACTTTTTGTATTTTTTAAAAATCTATGAATAATTATAAATAAAAACATTTTTGTCTATTTTAAATTATTGTACAGTAAAATCTTTTGGTGGTCGCATGACATGCGACATGACTCAATAGTTTCAATAATTATTTTTGAGTCATAGCATCCACTAATTAATCTAAATTGTACTAAATTCCATTAACAACTAGCCTCTCTGCAGGGTCTCTAGAACTTTAAATCGTGATTTTAAATACTGTAATGTGAGCCATTTCATTATTCAGTCATGCTCTAATCCTCCAAGTCCCTCTCTGTCTTATTTGGCCTTTGAGGCTCAACTTGTCCGATTATCATACATAATTAAACCCCTTAAGACCAAACATATGTGACGACTATGGCGGAGGCGCTTTCGAGATCTTTCCAGAGTCAACGTGATAATGTTTCTAGTATTGGTGAGAATTGGTGAAAATTTTAAATTTGTATATAAATATTGGTGGAGGAACAACGCAGTATCAGTTATAGATAGACAGTGAAGATAAATAGTGAACAGTTTAAAGCCTTCCAAAATATATAAATTAAAATAGTATTGTTATAAAAATAAATAAGTGTTTAAATAAATTATTAATAAATAAACTGTTGTTTAAAATAAACAAACACCACAATCGTATTTTCTTTAAATAATTTAAAACGCCCATTTAAATTTTCATTTAGTGCTTAAATATTTATTAATTACATGTCTGACCATAATAGCGCTATAAGTCTGTTGCAATTAACAGATACCCTCCCTAATCGAAAATTGGGAAAATATACTACCAGGGCCTCAATTCTCGACTTCACCGGAAAATTTTCCCATGGATAAATATTCCCATGCTTATATTCCAGTGGTATTATAAAATGGTATTCTCGACTAGTTTAGGAACCTTTTTCCTATGGGAATTTCGATTATTCGTGTCTAACGTATGTCGGGTATTAAGTACGTAAATATTGGAAACTGACCAATCATAATCAATATTATATTTCAATACTTTCAAGTAGTAATGTTGGGATCATTGATTATATCGTCAACTTTTGACTCTTGTTTTGCCACTTGCCATCTTGTCACAGAAAACAATCAACCCCTTTTTTTAGAAAATAACGTGAAAATATATCATGTGCTGAACCTAGTACAAGGGGCACAATAAATCCAAAACGAAGAGTAGCTGCTACAAGGTTAACTAAAACCTTGAATACTAGCCGAAATATTGAACGCATGTTACAAAATAAAAACTTTAATAAAGAAAATTATTATGACAAAAAATTCAAGTTATTAGAGAGAAATGTTTTGGCAAAAGAACGAATAACTTGTGTTCATTATTTTAGCTTCAAGTTTTTTAACATCTCATTATGTTATTAATAGTTGCTATTTATTTTGCGTAATAAAACAAAATTTATTCTGAAATAGCCTATTCCTAATAATGAAACAAAATTTATTCTGGGATTGCTTATTCTAGAAACCTTGCGTTGATCATATTTGAGAAATTGTCTATCATTTAAGGATTCAAAGGGATCCCCTGCCTCATTTTTCCACTTGACCAAAAATCTCTTGGGACATTAATTGCTCTTCTTTCTGCCTCTTGTATATTGTTTAATTGGGAAAGTAAAATAGCTTCATCCATTTTAGGAAAGGTATATTAGTAATAATAATATATAAATATTATTATTTGAAGTAACTAGCAAATGTCACCGGTGACAGATTCCCATTGGAAATTTGATTTCCCATGCCAAATACCAGGTGTATTTGCTCCCATACTTTTCGTGAGAAAATATTCCTAGTGGATGTGTCGAGAATACAAAATATAAATTCCCATAGGAAAATGATCTTTTTCCCATGGGAAAAAAAGTCGAGAATTGAGGCCCAGAAGACATTCTAGAACTTATGCTAACCATGCCTCGGAATTTTCAAGCAGTTATTTGGGTTGTTGGAAGGCATACACATTATTCCCTCAATAATACCGATTCGGTAAGGAGTGAGGGCCGCAATATTTACCAAACTAGAAGTCAGAAAAAGGTTTTATGGGTGGAACCTTCCACCATGGTCCCACGAAAGGACGAAGACCCGGTAGTGTCGAATTATAATACTTTTTATGACATGTAGATATTTTAAAACTGTAAATAAAAATTCTTCTAGTTCTAGTGTTTGAAATGTTCTCAAAATTTTTGATTTCTTGAAGTATTTTGAATTTGAGTAAATAGTTTTTTTGTTACATCTATAAGAGCCACCACTTTTTCAGATACATGACAATTCTCTTCTAAAATTTATAAAGCAGTTATTCCTAACTCCTAACCTCAGAAAGATAATAATACATTCTAGGAATACTTAACCACTGTACAACTTCTATAGTAACGGTGTATTATATAATTTAAAACAAAAGAACCACTGAAGGTGTTTGTATTAGTTTTATTAACCATATAATTTTCTGGATAAACCTAATAGTAACTACAGTTTACAACTGTATTATTAAGTTAATATGTATGTATTAAATGTAGTTGTAATTTAAAAGTTATAGAAACGTTATAACAACTACATATATTGTACATTTTAAAACAATTTAGTTATACGTTTCTTATAAATTAACGTTATTACAACTCTAGTTAAATATTGCTCAACAACTTCTAACAAAAACGTCGTACTATTAGTTTCTACACTATTAAAAAGTTGTATATCAGTTATAAAAATTTAAGTTATTTAACGTGTCATGTACATGTGTTTTGTAACGTTTTAATCAATTATACCAACATTTTATAACTGTGTGTTACTTGGGCCTTTACACTTCACGATCATGCTAATCGTCAAAATTGCCGCTATTGGTCTAGGGAAAATCCTCACTGGATGAGATAAGAACATATGCAATACCCTGAAAAGGTTAATGTTTGGACAGGAATTGTTGGCGATCATATCATAGGTCCCTATTTCATTGATCGCAATTTGGATGGCGATAATTATTTAGCACTGCTCCAAAATAATGTCGTGCCAACTTTAACGAACTTATATCCCGCGATCCAGCAAACCCACAAGTTCCAGCGAATATGATAAGGTTTTAGCAAGATGGAGCATCGCCCCATTACCAAATCAATGTCCGCCAGTATCTCAATCGAGTATTTTCAAATCGGTGGATAGGAATGCGGAGATCGATGAAATGGCCAGCACGATCCCCTGATCTGACATCATTAAACTTTTTCTTATGGGGATATGTCAAAAGTATTATATACAAAACTAAACCTCTCGACCCAGCTGACGTAAGAAGGCGAATAACGCTTATATTGGTCACGGCTGAGATGAATAACGTTAGAAGACATTTTTATTTCAGATTAGGATGTTGCCAAGAGATTCGCGACCGAACATTTTGAACATCTCCTACATTGAGATATTTTTTTTTTGTTAAATTATCAAGAAATAAACAGTATTATTTATTAGTTTTTAAGTGTGTTGTAACTAATTTCTGTTATCAAATTATTTTATTTTATTAATGTTAATTTTTGCAATAAATCGGAAAACATTTATATTATATAACAGTCAGGTATAGGACATAGTACATAAAATATGTCCAGAATTTTTTGAAGAGTACAAAAATTGAAAAATATACAGGGTGTTGCATTTAAAATAAGAAAGTTGGTATTGACCCTGTATAAAAAGTTTTTGTTAAAAAAAATGCGCAAGTAAAAATACCAATTTCCGAACACGCCCCCATTTATTTATTACCGAATTTATTCCATTAGGCTGTTCCAAACTATATTTTCATTCGAGAGCTTAATAATTGCAGACATGAAGGTTGCTATTCTTTTTGTTTTTCTTCGTTTGGAATTTTTATCTGAGGGTGATGTGAGTGATGAATATTAATTTTCTTTTTTCGAATCAAATGTCATTAAGATACGTTTCATTAAATTTGTATAGTCGAAGAATTTAAAAAGTTATTGAAATTTAAACGGGTATTGATCTAAATATTTTGAACAAATATCAATAAACAATTTAGCAATCAAATCGATTTTTAACACAATAAAAAAATGATAAAAAGCTACTTACACCATAGTCCATTTGCATCAAAACGCACGTCAAAAGTTTCTCTAACTGCGCAATCATATCCGGAATCGAAACGCCAATGTCGGCAATAATTCTATTCAAATCTTTAATCAGCTCAATTACTGAAGGTTCTTCTGCCTGTATCTTCTTCATAGATTCCGGAAGTATGATTGTATGGAAGTTATAATTCAAGTCGTACAATCCTTTATAAATGTTACTAGCAATTTTGATGCCGTTCAAAATTTTATAAAAATTTTCATTGTAATTTTGCTTGGAAGAAGGAAGGTAACTAATCATTTCTACTGCTCTGGTGCTGTGTAATAGGAGATCATCTAAGAACCAGTCTCCATCTCGCGATGTTAATTTGATCAACCAATCACCGCTACGTTGTGCAGCTATTTCCAATGTTAATAAATTCCTATTCAAAAGAACCCATTCACTAACGATAACGAATTCTAATGCACTTGTTGCTCCTTTTTCCAGTGTTATAAACGTATTAACGCCGGCTTTGGCGTTGTTGTATACTTTCTCTAAAGTTTCGCTAGATTCTTTAGACCGGAAATTTTCTAAATCGCCAAATAATTTATTGACTTGCATTAAATTTTCTTTGTATAAAGTTTCCAAACTGTATGCAACGGCGACCACCTGAGGATGGATGATTGTAGGGGAATCCAAGAAGTCTCTAATTTGTTGGTAAACAACATCGCAGCTGGAGTAGTTGTTGTTTTCTAATAGAAATTTACACCACTTTATATACATGTATACTCTATGCGAATCTAAATAAGACTTAGGACATTGAGTAAGTATCGAAAAATAATCTTGATATATCTGTAAACATTTTCGTACAGATAAGTTTAGGTGTTGCAACAACTGAAAAACTTCTTTTTCTGAATGCTCACACTGAGTAATAACATCATTTTTGCCAGCGTTATGTAGGAATTCTTTGACTAAATCGAAAATACGCATGCTATCTTCATTAGTTACAACTTTAATGTCCATTAACCATTGCGAAAACTGTTGGTTATCATGTAATACAAGTAAATTTGAATAAATCTTAATATGTTCTTCACAATCGCTAATAATGTTGCACAATTCAGATTTGGCATTATTGATAGAAGCTTGAGACTTATGATAAGTATCGAAATGCGATGGTAGGGAATACAAAGAATGGTTGTGGACACCCTGAGCTTCTGCTTCTTTGATTAGGGCGAGCTGTTGATGTAAATCTTGAAGTTTATCTTCCATATCGGCAACTTTTGTTATTAATGTCAAATATTCGTTCAGGCTCTTGATCAAGTTTGGTATTTCATTTAGAATTTCTTCCCTGAAAGTATAAAGAACAACTCGTATTTAAAATATTTTGATACATAGAAAATCATGTTTTTTGAAATTATGAAGCTTTTGTCTTTAATATAATATGCAGGGTGATTCATTAAGAATGTGCAATATCTGAACTACAGATAGTAAACTCTTAGGATGAAAAAAGACCCTGTCTCGCCAAAGTAGTTGTAAAAAGTTTGTTATTCGGTTGCCTTCAATTTGAAACAATTGTAAATATCTTCGGGCCGATGATAATCCATTATGATTTGACTGAGCAAAACAACAAAACATATAACGCATTTCACCGTTAGAAAAATCGTTATGCCCTGACGTTTTTTGATTAGTAGTCACTATTTTCATTCAAAATACCTAATTACTAAATTTAAATCAGAAAAAGGGTGATAAAAAATACTTTTGTTATCGAACTCAAAATTGAATTAAAAAGCCTACTCAATAAAATAAATAACACAAATCAGTGGCTAAGACAACTTTGCATATTTTATTAATTAAAATTTTTATAAAACATCTTTTTGAGAGTGAAAAACGCAAAAATCGACAATTTAAAAGAGTGCATTTTTTATGTAAAATTGAATAGGCTTTCAGATTTTTAACTAATTTTAAACATTATTCAAAGCTCAAATTTACTGAAGGAACAGAGTGCCAATAGCGCCCTCTATCAATGGTCACAAAATAAAACACAAATTCGTATTTCTCATGTCAGAAAACTATCAAATTTTATGTTCATGCTGTTAAAACTTCTAGTTATTGAGAAATTTTAACATAAAATTTTCCCTTTGAACCACCAGTAACTCCTAAACGAGCAACATTTTTATGAGGCATGTTGGGCCTACTCTTCATATTTTGGTGTTTCTATCCGTAGTTCAGAAATTGTCCATTCTTAATGAATTACTCCCTGTATATCCTACAATAATATTTGAAGTTTTATTGTAATTAATAAGTTTATGAGAATTTTTACATCCTGTTTAGATTATTAATTCATTAAGAACAAAAAGTTGAATGTTAACTGATCAATTAATCATATATGGTAGCTTAAAACTATGCACAACAAAATGTTAAAACAACCATTGATGTAATCAATAAAACAATAAAAAATCTCTATAGTAATAAAATTTAAATACAGTTGGATAAAATCACGTATTTTAGATGCTGAAAAAACTTTTTTAAAAAAATAGTCATATCTACAGGGTAATTCTTAATAAGAGGGAACTCAAAAAAAAAAACAAATTAAATAAATTCATATACATATACCAGAAAGATTAAAATATTTATATTTTTAACTTTTCATTTTTACATTTTTTTGGATATTTCAAATGAGGTAAAAATCTTACTTATTTTCGTTCCATTCTGCTCGCATCTCTGTACATCTTACGTTAAACATCGACAAAGTAACTTCCTTCTCCAATTCTTTTTTACTCTGTTTGGAATTCGTATCTGTAGTTAGAGCTCCAAATGTTGTACCAGCTAAAACTTCACCACCTACCGTCCAATCAATAAGTGGATCATAAACAAATGCCTCTAATAATGTCAATAAAGTTTCTCTGCCTTTCCTCATTACTTTCAAAACATTCTCACATGCCAAACGAAAAATGCCCTGCAAATAAAAGTTATGACCATTATAATGAGAGTGCTATTGATATTAAAAAAAAAAATGTTTGAAGGTAAATTGTATACAAAACAAATACGTTATTATTTATTTGTTACTTTAGTTTTATATTAGATTTAAAATAACTAGATTATCAAAAATACGATTAGTTTATAAATAGGTTTTCTTTTATTTGTATTTATTTAATTACGCAATTATTATTTATGATTACTGATTATTTTCGCCCGTGAATGAAAATTTGTACTCATTCTCATTCAGGCAAAACCTGCCATTGATGCAAATATAATGTATTTTTAAATATATTGTTACGCAGGTTTTTGGTAACTCAATTTATTTCAACACAACTTTACAATTCAACTATATAACTGATAACTTGAACGTATAACGTTTATCATTAAACTGCCACTCTGACGTCAGGATCATCGACTTATATAGCTCGCTTTAACCTTCCAGAACCTTCTCGAACCGTCCAGATGTTTCTTGACATGGAATGACATTTGTCGATATTTCTAGACTATTCTCTCTTCATATTTTACTAGTACTTTTACTTATGACGACCACAGCACACTGTAGAGTGATGAGTAACATTGCACTTCTTTTTTTAGTTGTACGATTCCTGAAACAGCTGCAGGCTACTGCAGGGTGCAGAATAACAATATGTATAGGGTGATACCGAAACAAGGTATAAACAATAATTATAGTTTTGATAACATTCGTTGCATCGCTAAAGTCAATACCGTATACAATGAAAATGTTTAATTTTAGCATCTATATTAACAAAGCATATTTACTTATGTGTAAATCCTTAAAAATAGAAACGTCAACGTCTTTTCGGAGAAAAAGCAGAGTTGGACGATGGGGTGATTTTTTAATCGTTACTGTGTTTATTAACATTCAAATAAATGGGGTTATATTTTTTCAAATCAAATCATCACAAATTAAATATTCGTTAATATTTAAGAAATCAATAGAATAACATGTAAAGAATGTCAGTTTACCAAGATTAAATTAAATAAGAGTTCGTGAAATATCGTCCGACTCTATTGGATGTACATATTTTTTTTTTGATTCTGGCTATATACAGCTTAGGAAAAAAGTATACGAGCCATACGGTACAGTTACTCTTCGTTTCTCTTAATTGTAGCATGTACTGTTAATATTCGTAACACGTCGGAGAGCATCATGAACGGATCGGTTAACATTTACAATAACTTTTAATTATTCAGCTCATTTCTCATTTCATTTACTGCTTGGCTTACGATAACCTACGCTGTTTGGTTTGAAAATTCTGTAGGTGCTCATACAATTTTATTTTCACAATGTCGCTCTTGCTTCACACTAAAGAGGAAAATATACAAATTTTAAAATGGTATGTTGGGGGTAATTTCGTGGACGGGGTAATCAATTTATTTATTAGAGCGTATGCAAAATCGGCCAATTTTACACCATTCGACAATTTTATTAAAATAATGAATAAAAAAAAAGAGTTTTGTATGTCTAGACTTGGCTAATAAATTTCTACACAACAGTTATTTGAAGAATGATAAATTATTTGTTCTACAATGCGGGGAATCTACGTAAATATTGTCTTTATTTAATTAGAGAGAACAATATTCCTCCTCAGTTCAAACATTACAAAACTATAGCTGCTTGATGATCGATAAAAGTAAACAATATCGAACGTAGATGAGGTAGGTAGATAGGTATTATGTAGGCGTTTGTGTTGTACACAAAGTATAGAGATGCCTATACCCTATGGCTCGTATACCTTTTCCCTAACCTATATGTGATTACTTTGGCATAATCTGATATATTGTAAAATACAACTCCGACACTGACAAAACATTTAATAGGAGGGAGGGTAAATATGTTGTGAATTATATATTTAAAAAATAATGAGTAATATACACCTATTCTTGTTGTGTCTTGTAAAATTTAATGTTAATGATAAGATAATGTACAATAAATAGGTCTAATACAGGTACGGTCATTTAAAATTATTTATTCCCAAAGCTCTGCTGACAAATGTTACGATTATTTATAATCACACGTAATTTTTTATTCCCAAAAATATGGTTATTAAATGTACACGCCTTGTATTAGGTTTCACATTATCTGACCACGGTTTAAAGCTACAACTCGAAATCTTAAATACTTATTCAATTTTATGAAATTGATTAGATATATCCCTATATTGTATCGCGAACATTTAAAACGCCATAAGTTTGACAACCAGATTTATTTGTATAGCGAATCCATAAATAAATGGGGCCATGATTCTTTGTTTGATTACACTGATTGTGAAAATTAATTTTAGCACATATAATAATTGATTTTCGTACAGCTGTAAAATAAATGTTTTTTAAAATTTTGCTTGAAGATTTAAATTTTTTTTCTGCAAGAAAGTTACTAAATTGTCCGTAAATTAAATTTTAACATCTATTTATGAGTAATAAATTGTTCACTAAGCAATAGTTTCGAGTAGATTCATAATTCAGTGTGCAAGGAAATTAATAGAATCCAATTTCCTGGTACAAAAAAGCAGGCGTATCATATTCTGTGAAGTAAAAACTAATTTCAGTAAATGTCGGCTAGTTAATCCTAACTAGTATTCAATCATAAAGAATATTCAGTATCATAAATACTGAGGGATTTATATGTATAATAATATTGCTTTTTAATAACGATGAAGTCAACAAAGTTTATCCAAAAGAAAACCTTAATAAATAGTAATTCCGTTTTTTTTTATGGAAGTAGCGATAAAAATTAAATTATTATTACAAGGTGTTCCAATAATATAACACTATTCAATTGATAAAAGCAAACGCGTAGAAGGTATAACTTATATATATATATTCTTTAAACTGTGGTATAACCAACCTCAGGGCACAAGAATATTATTCTGGTGCTCAGGGTCTCAGCTGATTCGGACTTTTGGCTGAGTCGTCCTTGAACGAAAATCGGTTATATCCACAAAGCACATAGAGGTTCCACGTGAATGACCAAGGTCAAAACCGACAACTGACATTTTTTATGCTATTTGCTCCAAACTCTAGATGGGGCTACTGGTGAAATTCTGATTTCTTACTCCATTTTTAAGCTGGGAGAAAAACTTAACCAAAGACTCCAAAGATGTGACATGTATTTATTTATGTTTTTGGTTAGTCTCATTTTTCCGTCTGATTTTAGTGATTTTTTGTTGGCTTTTGCTTTTGGATTCTGTTTATAGTTTCGTCTTATTGTTAGTTATTTGCAATAATTTTGGTGCTACCTGTGGGGTGCTACGTTGAAAACTTCGAGAAAAACTTCATTGATTCACCATGCATCTGCATCATAAAAAAGACAAACGGGTATAACAACTAATTGATAATCAATTTATCACTGGACTAGATTCCGAAATCATTTTTTCACATAAGAGAGTAATACACAAAGGCAGTGGAGCAATACCACCATCTGTATTTGGAAGGAAAATACCTATTTATCATTGAATGAATAGTTAAAAGGATTCACCTTTTAATACAATACCTATATTACATTTGTCCTCGGTTTAAAAGACATTTATAAAATATATTATTTTAGTGTTAATAAAATGTAATATCCTAGTCTCTACTTCACATTGAAATTATTGATAGGTATTTTAAAGATTTGAGATTGTATATCTATTTGCTGCAAGTAAGTATTCGTTAAATATGTATTATTATTTGGATTTATTTTTATCTAATAATATTTATTTAAGTTATTAATAAACATATTTTAAGAATGTTCTATTTTATTATTTATTGATATATCTTATATTTATTTAATAATAATATGCAGAATCAACTCTCCACATCAGACCCCTGCTTATAACAAATTAATTCCTCTTCTGTAACACCCATTTTCAAGAAAGGAAACAAACTAAACTCTAATAACTACCGCCCAATCAGCCTCACACCCATAATCTGTAAAGTTATGGAATCCATAATAACAGAGCACGTTTCTCAGTTTCTCTTAGCGGAAGAAATCATTCCCAAACAGCAACATGGATTTGTAAAAGGGCGATCAACCATGACCAATTTGCTTTGGTGTGTAAATGAGTGGACAGTTTCATTAGACAGGAAAAAACCTATAGACATTATTTACCTGGATTTTGCGAAAGCTTTTGATCGTGTGCCGAAACGAAGATTACTACATAAGTTAGAACACCTTGGTATACGTGGTGATTTACTTAAATGGATCGAGTCATTCTTAACTGATAGAAAGTACTGTGTTAAAGTTGGAAATTCGCATTCACTTGAAAGACCAGTCTTGAGTGGGGTTCCTCAGGGATCAGTTCTGGGTCCACTCTTATTTATAATATATGCCAGTGACCTTCAATTCCATATCAAGTGCAACAATATTTTTTACGCAGATGACACTAAAATATTTAGTGACCCGTCTCTGAACTTCCAACAGCTTCAAGATGACCTTGACTCCATCTATAACTGGTGCTCAGATTGGATGCTACCTCTAAATACAAATAAAAGTGTAGTTCTCCATATTGGTAAAAATAATCCTCGTCATAATTATTTTCTAAACGGTCATACGTTAAATAAAGTTAAATCTTACAATGATCTAGGTGTTATAATTACTGAAAATCTCAGCTGGTCTGAGCACGTTCTTCAAGTGTCAAAAAAGGCGAACACGAAAATGTACTTATTAAAGAAAACATTCGCAAAAGTGTCTTTTCAAAATTCTATCCGGCTGTATAAATTATACATTCGTCCGATTATCGAGTACTGCGGAGCTGTGTGGTGTCCGGAACTAGTGCGGGATAAAAATATTCTTGAAAATGTTCAGCGCCGATCAACCAGACTATTTTTCGGACGTATGAGACCTAATTACGCAGAGAGACTACATATGGCTGAACTACAAACGTTTGAAAATCGCCGTCTGCGGGGTGACATGATAATTTGTTTTCGTATTTTAAAATATAATTTTGGAAATTTAAAATGTATGTTCATCGTGAA